TCTGTGCTGGCAAAAAATAATGAAGAGCAGATTTGGATGTTTGATGAATTTTCACTTTACTGAGCCACATTAAAGATAGTGATGGTCATGAAGTGTGTAAACATACAGACTGAAGCTAATGATAATGCTTATATTTCACAGAAGAATCAGGGTGCAGAAGGTTTACAGCCACAGCATGAAGTAAAAGTTCAACATATTGGCCAGTATATACTATACATATGAAGCAAGAGCTAGGAAGCAATTAGCTTCTATCAAAAGTGAAAAAAAATGTAAAAAAGACTTTCACCTTGGATATTATTTATTAAATATGGACAGATTTTTTTCAAATGCAAATTTGTATGCACAGTTTTGGTATAAAGGTGTTTTTTGTAGATATGTGCAGGAACTCTTTCTCAGCTATTAACAGCCAAGTACAATATGGACCCTTTCACATTTCTGTTTTTGTACAGATTGAAAAAGCCAGATACCTCTCTCTAAAAAACTAGATTATTAGGTAAACTATCATATGCCATATTGTTTCAAGATAGACAGATAGGGACCTAGCTGTTTTGCCCTGCTTCCAATCGTAACGCAACGCAACACTAAAAATACTCTAAACTGTAAATGCCCTACAAACTTCATCCATGATGTTTGTTTGATTTCTGTAACTGCTGATTTTATGCAGATATTGATTCTCATTCGTGTTGCAACTGGTTCACAGAAATAGACCTGGATATTACTCATTAACGTCTTAATTTAGTAAAGCTAAAATGCATAAAGATGTATCAATAATTATAATTAATAGTAATTTGGATACATTCACCTCCCAAAGCTCATGTTTTGTATTTGCCCAGCAGTTCTGGAAACAGGCAGCAGCAGCCTATTGTTCCACTGTTTCCCTTCTAACAGGAAAGACTTCAAGACTTTATTCATCATGTGCACACTTTTACATACAGCAGTTGCTGGCAATGAAATTCTTGGGTCACAGACTCCCTTCTAGCCATGCTCAAAAATATTTGAAACCACACAAGGAACAAATTTAAAGACTAAATATAAAAACTAAAATTAAATAAAGCTAAAGTAATACAATTAAATATAATTAAATATACAGCTAAAATATACATTATAAACTAAAATAAAATTATTGAGTAGAATGAATGAATAAAAATGGAAGGCATACTGATTAGGTAATGCAAATATTACAAGGGTTCCCTGTGGAGGACTGTGTCTGCTTGGAAAGCATATTGACACACATGCAGAACACGTGGACACATAATTAGTCGCACCAACACGTCTAAGATAAACAGTCTTCCCTTGGACATACATATTGCAGAACACACAGCCATCACCCAATGCTGTATCCACCATCATGTTCACAACATTAATGATGGATCGCAGCAATTCTGCACGAGTCCTGAAAACTGCAGCTGGCTGTGCTCCCCAAAGCCAATTCATCAGCCCAGACAATCTGCTGAAACGTTGCTAACTGAAACTCAATACAGACATTAAGCACCTCCTGTCAGGCCATCAGCATGTAACCTTGAGCCTGTCTGAACACCATAAAACCAGCAGGAACACTGATAAGATACTGAATGTGTACATAAAATATACAGCTTTCTGTGCATGGCACTAATAGAATGCAGTGATGGTAAATGAGGTGTCTGGATTATTAATGCAGTTGAAATACATATCTGTGGCCTGTGTAGGTAAGAGACAGCCATAGAGCATGATAAATTGAACTGGTCCCGTATGAGCAATAAACACTTTCGGTGTCTCTGCAGAGACCACCTGTGCAGACACAGTGTACAAATTCCAAATGCAAATAATGCATACACAGATTTGACTTTCAACTTGTCTCTATTGACTTTGTGAACATGTCTTCTACATCTGATTTTAGGACAGGCAACATGTTCCTGCAGCACTGAATCATCTCCCTCAGTGGGCTGTGTCGTTCCTATGGGATTTCACAAATTATCTCTGGGGGCTTTTAGATAAATAGAGTAATTGCACTGCAGTGGTCAATCTGTCTACTCATTCCAGAGATCTGTCTCTGTGGAATGCATATCTGGAACCTGGGAGTCAAGTTTCATAAATCCTGAACAGGTGAACAGCTGTTTGTGCAGCAGAGGTGGCTTTGGGGATCTGTCCAGACTTGCAGAGTTTTACTGCCGGTCAATTTTACAGTTTCATAAAGAAAGCTGCAACCACCAGCACCACAGGCCAAGCAAACAGCCAGTTCCAACCGGGCAGGTTTAGAGTGGGGACTGTAGTAGTTGATCCAATCGGAGCTGCTGACACTTGAAAATACACCTGAAATGGATTTGGACTCAACCATTCATTTCTAATTCTGTCACAAACCAGAACGGGACCCAAATGCAGTACAAAAGAGTTCTTTAATTATTCCAATGACTAAGGSCCACCCGTGGCGGCCGGCGGAAACACAGTCTATTTTAATCAGCAGGTTAAGCAGGTAAACAGCAGACCAGAGGATGTGAGCTGGAGAGGTGAAGCTGATCAGGTGGGTCTTCTGGTTGAGCAGGAACAGGCCAAGTGCCACAGGCAGACGAGGAACAGAAAACCGGCAGGCAAACTCGTGGTCGGGGACAGAAGGCTGGTGGATTTTCCGGGGCGGAGACGAGAGGCGATGTCGGAGGCAAGTCGGGTCGATACCAGGGAAGCAATCCGGGAACAAGTGCTGGAGAGTCAGGCACGGGAACGAAGACAATCTGGCAAAGAGTGAGTGGAGTGAGGCTGCTGAAACACTGGCTTGATGGGAGATGGTGAGCAGGTGAAAGCTGTTACACTGATGAGGGGTGTGGCTGAGCAGCAGCGCAGGGGAGGAGCAGAGCAGACTGTGACATAATTCAACTGTTCTGTATTTATACATCACTATAGTCTTGATGACCACTCACAGCTCTCTACATTACAGTTCTTACCACCCATTCACACACTTATCCATTCAGTGCCTCTATGTGCAGCACTTTCTATCATACAGGACTCACACACTGCTGGCACAGCTGCAGGGGAAATTCGGAGTAGTATCAGTCAGTCAGTATCTTGCCCAAGGACACTTTGAGCATCAAATGTGTATGACATTGAAAATAGCCCCTAACAATTGCAGTATTCACAATCATTTGTTTAAATCTACAGTGTTCAAGTTTTTCTGAAAATCTAACTATAAAGTTGATGTATTTAATGTGTCTGGATGACTTGCTTCCCCTAAGGCTGACCCGTCGATGGCTTGATGACCTGTCTCCGGTGGGGTATATTCTCAACGCTGATTGGCTTTCGCAAACATCACATCACGTGAATTTTCTGCTTGAGTTCAAATATTTCCACTGACGTGTGTGACGCCAATGACCTGAATTTAGCTCCAATTGCGTTGTGCCGTTCACGTTGCCCGGCACAAGTAACATGAAATCTGCATCTATTCGCATCTTTACTTTGCCTTTGTATGAACAAAAAATGTTGCTTCATGTTTGGTGTTGAGGCACCATTACAGTCACACATAGGCAAATGTATCAATGGCAAAACTTTGCCTCCCATTCACTTCAAAGCGAGCGAGGGGGCAAATGCTTCCTGTGGCAAAGAAAATCGCAGCGTGGCTGAGTGTTGATCCATGATATTCATTATGCGTTGTATGATCATGCCCTTAGACTGAATGAAGGGATAACTGCTGCCTCATTCATTATTTGCTTATATTGAGACACCCTATAATACATTATCACTCCCTAGACTGTGTCTGTTAAGCAACGCTGGCTACACAAATAGTCAAGTCTGTAGTGGAACTGGACAGCTCCCAGAGTAAATATGTGAAATCAAAGCAAACTGTCGTGTTCTACTAAGATCAACCAAATCTTCATTGATAACAGTATTTATTATCTTTATGTGCCAATATTTTATAAAGTAGCTCATGACCAAACCAGATGCAGCCTCCTGTGCAGTGTGTGTGTGTGTGAGCAGTTGTCAAGTGAAATGCTTCCTCACTGGGTTGGATGAATTCTGAATCTGAATCTGGTTTCATCATCGCCTTCTTAATTGCAATATTTGGTTATTACAGCTGGTATTTTACTTTGTTTGACTCATTCACATACATGGATTCAGCATCATGAGCGGTTAGGGGTTCAATGTCTTTGCAGAGGCTGAGTCAGAGACTTTTCAACATGAGATGTGTCAAGACACTCTGGTTCTCACAAGTATTGAGTGTAGGCATGTGTGCCAGCAGGGGTTCAAAAGGTTCTGGACGTGTCAGTCCAAACAGTGTCCACTAACATGTATCTAGGGTGAAGCCAGTGTAATACTAGTCATTTTACTAGCTCAGCTGGGACAATGTATGCATACAAACCAACCCTGGTTCAAGGGTGGTGTCAGACAGTGTTCAATCACCTTATCTTTTTATTTTCCTGTACAACAGAGCAACCGGAGGAACCTGAGTAATGTATGAAGAGTTATCAAGATGGAAAACATCGGCCACATTTGACTGCGAATGGGATTTTTGCGCCTGAGCAAAACTTGGCAAGTGTAAAATGGACACTCAATTTCTGCAAATTTATAGCTCAACAGTTCACCTGGGTTTGTTTAATTCTCTTTGAACGTCTCATTCCGTGGCAACAGAACAAACGCTATCTGCTGATGAGGACTGTGTTTTATGTTTGAAAGCTCCAGCAAAGCTCCTACACTGACTTGGAGTTTTTTGTAAAATTCCAATCAGAGTAACTTTTACCTTTCAGTCAGCCAGTGCATGTGGAATGGATTAAAATATCAATGTAGAATGTGTACAGGGTTTGGTGTCTGGGCTGTGACCTCATCACTCCCCACAGAGAAACACAAAAAAGTGGATATTAAAACTTTTTAAAGTCAGCATCCATTAAAGTGGTAATTTTAGGCTAAGATGAATGAAGAAATACATGAAGGATTGAGTGGAAACAGGCAGAGTAGAGAAAACAGCATTGAGAGCAGTCAGTATAATATGACTTCGCTCATAATGGTTGGTAAAGATGAAGTACACACGTTTGCTTCTTTTCACTTTTATTTGTAAATGCATCTTGGATAGAACAAAGAAAAAATATATATAATATATTCATATGTACTGAAATGTTAAGTTATATACACATTTAGGTTGAAACTACAAATCTTCACAAGCACTCATTTGTTTTAAGATATGGTATCAGAATCTCTGTGTCTTTTCCCGGATGCAGCGATGTACACTCCTGCATATTTACATACATTCATAGGATGCGATAAAACACCTGTGTTCGCACAAGCATTGACAATTCAAAAATTGAATGAAAGGAATGATGCACAATGTGCCCCTGCATGTTGTCCCCTTAAATACATGAACTACGCATGGACGGCACCGTCACTCCCCTACATATTCACAGTGGGGTGTGCTACACCTAGAAAACAATATTTGACAGCATTTGGGGCATTTGAAGGTGTGTCATGGCCTCGAGAAGGTTGTTGTGACTACATTTCCCAAGGAGCTTGTCCTCCTGGTAGTTCAGCACCATGGTTTGTAGTGTGTCCACTGATGTCACCTCAGAGGTGGAAGGCTGTCCAGGTCGCTCCATTAACAGATAAAGCGGAGCTGAGGCAGCTTTTGTATCAAGTCGATAGAAAACTAGTCGTTCAAATACTGATCGCAGACTGAGACATTCAGTTCTGTGGCTGTGCACAGGGCCACTGCATGAGACCATGTCACCAGTCACCTGATTAACATGTGGAAAACACTGACAAGCCTGATTTTCAAAACCATTTGGCTCTGTGGTACAGTAAGGCCAGAAAATTGATAAAAAATACAAGACCAGCATGTAGGTACATGTGATAGCTTAATAAAAGGATAACAAAGAACACTTAACACTGATCAGAAGGCTGATTTGACAATCACTGTGCGCTTAGCCTTTTAGTTGTGTTTCACTTTTTGCATTTCTTGTGTTGCTGTGTCATTCTCGCTCTTGAGTCTCAGGCAGCTTTACAAAGTTGCTGTTAAAAATGTCCTGGAAGATTGTTGCAAGCTTAACTTATCTGTACTTTATGTCTTTGTAGTAATACAGTTCTCCCCCCTCCATCAACAACAAAATGAATTTCAGATATATATTATCCACCTTCTCCGTCAATGAACTGCAGCGCAAGGCGACCAAAAGTGGGACAAAGCTGTCGGAGACCCCTCACAGGCTTGGGAAGCCCGGAGAGTAATTGTGACTCTGATAGTAGCTAATAGGGATCCCAGTGAACTTCAGTCACACTTCCTTTACATTGCATAAGACGAGGAATGTGCAAGATAAAGGCAGTTGTTTTTATCCAGGTAGAATGGACAGACAAGGCTTTTACCAAGTCTACCACATAGTCCAGACTGAATCTTCTGCTGAGGCAGGAGATAAAGACAGGACAAACATGCCAACAGCAATAACAACCAGCGTATTACAGACAAGATGGTCAACTGTGTGGGCTTGTGGCTTTGATAAAATAAATTAGAACAATCACAGACTGCTGAAATAAAAAGAAAACCTCCTTTCCACTCACATATTCATTTTGACTCAATGAAGGCCCAAAAAGTGTGCACGCACACCAGTAAGTTCACACTCACACACTGCTCCTGTGGCTTATGTCTGTATGAGAGTGATCCCAGCATTCCCAGCGTTCCCAGAGATCCCAGTGAGGCGAGCACAGCGTCAGTTTTCTGCACGAACTGTCCGGCTGCTCCGTGGAAAACGGTGGACTTTGATGTGTTTCGACAGGTGGTCGCTGCGGGCAAACTTCTTCTCACATACAGGACACTGGTAGGGTTTGACCCCCGAGTGGGACCGCCGATGTCGAGAGAGCTCATCCGACCGTGAAAACCTGGAAGAAAGAAGAGAAGGTGTTTCAGATTCAGGGTCAGACATGAGTGAACAGGAATCACGAATCTGATGATTTTAGACTCAACTTGAGAAAATCATAAAAGTCATAACACTTGACTTTGACTTTAACACTGATAGCCCATGGTTTCACTTTGACTTCGGTCTTTTGACGTGGAATAACTTCATATCTATCCCCAAACCCAAGGATAAAAAAGTGTATATTATAAAAGAAGCGTGCCACAATTTTGATGGCAATAGATGCATATTGCAGTTGGCTATGCCTTGTTGAACTTTAGTTATGACACAAGCACCAAACTTTGTGTAAACTGGAAAAAGTTTATATATGTGGATTAGGGTGAAAATAGAAATAAAATCTTGTTTTCTTGGAATTTAATTAACGTGGCAATTGGGCAGGATGGGTGAAAACAAACTTATTATTGGATATCAATTTTGGTTAAGAATTATTACTTAATTGTGTGAAGGGAAAGGGAAAAGTATGCTCATGCTGGTTCTAATGAGGATCCTAATAAAGAAAGAAAGAAAGATATTCCAATATCCATCCATCCATTATATAGTGTGTTCCTATATAATGCAGTACACTTGTTGTGCATGGCAGTACATTACGTTCATTCCTCAAACAAAGTCTGAAGTGTGGTTCTTTTCACATGGAAACTATTCATCTTTATTCAGTGACCCACTGTACATAATGAAAGAAGTGATGAAAACCTTGATCTTTCCATCGCTCTCACACTATTATTTTGTACTGTGTTCTGGCAACATCTCTGATTTTCCTTAACACGGACCCCTAATGACTGCAGTGGCCCTTTCTCAGTAAGGCGAATCAACAGCATCATTTTCTTTTTTATGAGCCAGCATCACAGACTGATGTGACAAGTTTCCTGTAACTCTTGGACAAGCTAAACGTCGCAGCAGCAGGTTTGGCATGTGAGGAAAATGCTACCTGGCTAGAGCCACAGGGACAATAGCTCCACGGCTTCTTCCCAGAAACCTAGTTCTCTGAAAGTGACTGTCCCCAGCCACACTCTGCATCCCAGATGTTGCTCCACTGACCTGACAAGATGATGAATTGATACAATTCCACTCTGTAATTAAGCAACCACACTTGGGGAGCTTCAGTAGGAACTTGCTGTACTCTCCGTCATATGCAGATAAAACAGCGTTAGGCTCAGGGCTGGAGTAGAGTGGCTGCAGTAATAGACGTGATTCAGATACATGAAGCATCAGACAATAGTTTATACAAGGAGACACAGCCAGTAATAGCAGCTGAAACACCTACCCCATGCTTGCTAGTTCCCCTACTCAAATAACTAACTGTATGGTTGGATCCCATGGGAAGCAGCACAAATATCACGGGATATATTTACTGTGGAGCGAGAAGTCAGCGTCATCACTGCAGGATGGATGTGGGCTGAAATTTCATACATGAAAATAAAGAGGTTATTGGCTTAACCAAATGTTTTCAATCATGCACTGCCTTCCAGTAAACCGCGTGCATCCAAAACGGATCTACAAGCTGGTCTACGTAGTTAGTATGGATGGTCTCATGATGTTAAGAGTAACACTATCACTGCCACTCTGAAGCCTGACATTCCAACATCTGGTTCGGATCTGTTGCTATGTGAGAGAACAAAACAATGACAGGATTTATAACGCTTCATCCGCTCTCAGTCCCAACGGCATCAATTTGAAGCTGCTCGCTCTCTATTAAAGAGATTTGTTTCCATCTCATGTGAGCTCAAGTCTGAAAGGCTGTATATAGATTTCTGCAAATTATAAACCATCCATAAAGGCAGACAGACACTGCAAACTGATCTGGCGAAGCAGGCGGGAGGGAAAAGCAAGTCAACACACACAAAAACACAAACACACACACACACACACACACACACACTAGCTCATCCATCCCTACCAACGGAGACCCTGACTTCATTCCTACAACAGTCAGCTTGAAGCAGTTGAGTAACAACACGTGGGCTTGACGATGTTCTGCTCTGTACGAAACAACCTGGAGACACCTTAGTGTTTTTGTGCCTCCTGAGGTTATGTTTTTGAGTTATCTGTCCGTCCCTCTTTCCCATTCTTGTGAATGCGATTGCTCAAACATTGTGATGGAATTCTTCACATTTGGTACGCTTCAACTCAAACCCATATCATTTTGGTGGTCAAATGTCACAACACAAGGTCCCTGTGACTTGGAATCGATGCAAAGTTTTTCTAAGTTTGTTCCATGGTTCCACTTGGACAGAAGAAGACAGATCATCAATGAATCCACTGTAGATCATTCAATATACATCCTCCTGGCAGCACACATTTTGTCACAAGGTCATCACAACAGCAACAGGAATAGCGTTAGGAGAGATCATCTTCTCATTCAGGGGCTGCAGCACAATAACAATCACTTCACAGAGTGAGGGACGATAACCAAGAAATGTTCAGAACAATAGATGGTTTGTATATATAAAGCTCTTTTCTTGTCTTGATGACCACTCAAGGAGCTTTACAGCACAGCTTTCACACACACATTCATACAGTGCATCTATTAGCAGCTTTTTTTTTCCTGTGAGAGGCAATTCAGGGTTCAGCATCTTCCCTGAGGCATGCAGATGGGGTAGACTGGGAATGAACTGCCGACCTTCTTGTTGGAGGATGACCACTCCACCACTCAGCCACAGCCGCCCACAACAACAAGGCTCCATAAGCTCAAGAAGCTTGCTACAGCTGGTTAAAGTTAATAATATATAATATACAAAGACACCAATAGTTACAAAATGTTACAAATGATGTCAATGTTCTGAAAATATCCAGAGCTAATCTAACCAGTAACACCATCTACTAAACTTGAAATAAAACATTTTTAGAAGTCGACTTCCTGCACTATAAATTAAGTCGAGTCTGTCTGAAGTTGTGTATACATTTGAATATACAGTAGGACGATCAGTTCATCTTTGCATCTGACCATTCCCTCTCTGTTCCTCCTCCATGTGTGGAACCCTGACTGATCCCTCTCTTCCCTTTCATGCAGTATGGCAGCCTGGACGTTCCCAGCCCACAGTCATGGTTACTATTCAACGCTTTGTGTTTGTTCGCTCCACTTCCTCACTCACCCCTTCAAGTGATTGTGTGCAAAACTGAAAATCTCACTTACTCTCGGCTACTCACTCTAGTCGCTTGCATCTCGCAGACTTTTCCCAGCCTTTTTTTTTCCTTCTGCCGGCCCCCTCATTTAGCCCATCACATACAGTGAGTTACACACACACACACACACACACACTGGTTCTCACACACATGCTCACTTCCATCCAAACTAGATCCTGCCTTTTGTGTACAGACAAGAGCCCTTTGTTAGTTGGAGCACACAGCCTGGATTACTACCACACAGATTTCTCCGCTCATGTACTGGGACACACTTGTGCAGCATGACAAGAACAAGTGGCAGGTTGCCAGTTTGGTTCCATGGACCTACATACATCTTGTATGGGATATTAATGATCAGCCAGTACCTGCATGCAAAGAAAGGTTTATAAATAGCTGCACGTACATGCGTTTTCATTCTGATTGAAATCATTCCATTTGAAGATTTTGGGATAACTGTTTAATAAAAAATATTGTGAAAATAATCTTCTTAATTTGTTATCATATCTTTTAGCACGTCATTGATCTGCTCCATGGAGAGTGGAGAAACAGACACTGGCCAATATTGGCCAGTCGCAGGTATCCTATTGGCATGTATGTTGTTAGAGATGCATGGAAGAATACAATTTATATAATCTTGTCGGCATAGGCGGCAAAATACATAGATATAACATCCTGTAGCCTTTTTACTAAGGGACACTGCACCATTAGTAGATTATATGAAATATTATTAAATTGTTATTACTGATACATTAATATATTGCACTATTGTAATTGGTTGAGTAGGAGTTTTAGCTATTGTATAAATATTGTCTATAGTAGTGCATCCAACAGCCCATCTTTGCTCATTAGTTCTTTTGTGAGTAAAATCTGTGAGAAGTAACTAAAGATTTCAGTAAATATGGTGGAATAAAAAGTGCATTACTATTTTTTTTAATCTAAAATGTAATAAAACAAAGGTATGATGTTGACAAACTGGAAACGCAGCAGCCGATGGTAACATGGTACATGGTCTGTATTCATAGCACTTTGATGACTAGTCAAAGCTCTTTACAGCAGTTTTACCATTCACCCATTCACACACACATTCATACAGTGCGTCTATGTGCAGCACTTTCTCAATCACACAGCAATCAGGAGCAATTTGACCCACTCTACATCCTGAGCCACAGGTAACTTCGATTTATATTTAAGTTCTCTAAATGCACAGTTACACTCCACATTAGATCAAAAATATATTTGAAATCGCCAGGGAGAGTGTGTGTGTGTGTCACATTTATTCTAACAAGTGATGTGTGTTTGTTCTCCGGCTGCAGTCGAGCCAGTCTCACTGACTGACCTGATGTCAACTCAAGACAAGAAATTGTCTCACTGATGAAGATGCCTAAGTTGTCTCTCTGCCTCTTTCCATTGCACACAGCAGGTTTCAAATTAGATATTGCTGCTTTATACTTAGCAAACAAAAATACACATACACATGCACTCATACTGCCTCAGCAACTGCACAGCTGTCGAGTCTCAACAGGAGGTTCCCATGTTGTTCCCATGGGACTCCAGCCCATATGCTCTGTCCCAGATTTAGTTTACATCCTTAAAAAAATGGCACCCCAGCTATTCTTGCACATCCCAGATATCTCGCCTCCTGAGAAGTGTGACTGTGTACAAGTCCTCCTCACATTATCGCAACTGACACTTGCAAGGCTGCATGAGAGAGACGCGTCTCAGACAGAAGCACACGAAAGTCTTCTATTGTAGTTAACCATATTACCACTTATGACATTCATGTTAACAAGTTGCCTCTGTGTGTATCTGTGTGTGTGTGTGTCACTTGAGGGGAGCTATTGGATGTCCCTCAATGTCACAGGTCAGTTCAAGAGTCAGTTAAAAACTGCACTAGCAACATGACACTATGCACTATGCACAAATTATACACATGTCCCCTGAAATATAATTACTGCTGCTTCCAGATAGGAAACGCCAAGTAATGGGTGTTAAGCTCCTTTTCAAGCACCCTGCTAACTGATGTTATTGCTCAGTCCTGCAATAAACAAATCTTTAAACAGGCTTTTTATAACCAGTCATAAATATGAGTCAATCGCGTATTGTAATCTTCTAAGATAACAAACAATTAAACGTAAAAGCTGTAGTGAGTAAGTAATTGTGCATGGGCAGAGATCATTCTGTCTGTGAGGTGAATGTTTAATCCTGTCAGCCAGGGCCTGCATGTTAAGACGTATGTAGAAACACATTCAATCACTCAGTTCACACTTCCTCCACAGTACCCACCTCCATCCACAGCCCTGCCAGTTGCAGGCGAAAGGCTTTTCCCCAGTGTGCCTCCTCAGGTGGGCCTTGAGGTGGCTGCTCTTGGTGTACATCTTGGTGCAGCCAGGAAAAGTGCATTTGTGCATTTTGATAAGATCCGCCACTGGATTCTTCTGGAACTTTTGACCTCCAACAAGAATCCCTGATCCCTGGCTGGCTGAGCAATCCCCAAGCCCAAGAGGCTTGGCTGCGATGGGGACAGGAGCAATGCGCACAAACTTGGAGGAGATGTTGAGGTTAGCAGATGGCACGATGTGGGGCACCAGCGCAAATGTCTGACCTTGGATGTTGACTAGCAGCTGTGCAATTTTGATGTCTGATGCTGGGGGAGGCTGTGGCGGCTGTGCTACTGGGGCAAGCGGTGCCACTGTGGGCTCCTGCTTGATTTGAAGGGGTTGAATCTGTAGGACGACAGGCATTCCACCATTGTTAGTACGACTGTCTACTGACGAAGGTTTGTTGACTGGTGCATTCTTGGCCCCAGCTCTGGATTCATGTGTGGGGTTAACTAATGTAGCTTTGGTCTCACTGGAGGCAGCAGTGGCCAGGTCAGTTTTGCTGGAGGTTGGGACAGTTTGGTCTGAGTACTTGGTCTCTGGTTCTACCTTATAATCAGAGGATGCCTCCCTGCACCACTCGAGACCAACGTCTAGACCAAGAGCTTCCTCCAGTCCCACTCCCAACTCTGAGCAACTGTCTTGGATCTCCTGCTTCATTGTCACCACATCCATATTCTCCTCCAGGAATTCTTCAATTTCTTCCAGAGTGGGCTGAAAGGACCCTCCAAGTTGCTCCTCTGTCTTCACATTGGACCAGTTGAGAAAATCAAAATTTTCCTCCTTTACAGGCTCGCATTTGGAGGGCTCATCTCTTCGTGAGTCCCAAAGGAAAGTGGCTAAAGGTGTAACAGACCCTGCAGGGACACTGTTGGCACCTCCTAAAGAGGTTTGGGACAGCAGGTGGTCCAAGATGCTATCCTGGCTCTCAGCACTGGAGTTGCTGCCATAGCTTGAGCTGAGCACTTGGGAGTCTGGGCTGGAGCAGGAACGAGGGCTGGACGATTCGCTCAGGTCGTCCTCCGAAAGCGGCGAAGGCATCACCTGGTAGGACCCCAGGTCTGTCACCATGTCAGACAGCCAGTAGGTCGGTGGAGAGCCACTGTGAGGAAGAAAAATCTCCTTGCTTGCTGTCAAGTTATCTACCATTCCTGGCTAGTGCCAAACCTCAGTCTCTTGTTGGATTCAGAGTCTGTTTAGAATGATTTTTAATAGAATTATTCCTTCTGCATCTGGGAAAGTCAGGCCAAACAAACCCAGGTCACCAAGGTCACTTTTCCCACACGTGTGGGATAGTGCAACACCTGGGGTTCTCTCTCAGAGTGGAAAAAGTAAATGAAACAATCCAAGGTCTCCAGTCAGGATACACTGTCTCTAAATTGAAAAAAACACAGACAGAAAGATATCTGTTAATCTCAATACCACATGTGCCTGCTGCTCAAATCCAAAATATGGCCTGACTTAAAAAAAATCTGATGATTGCATATTTCTTGAAAAATGCCTGACAAGGTGCCATTTCCTTCAATCCATCTGTCAAGTAGTACCCGATGCAGCCACGTCATAATATAAATGACAAAGCACAGTGAAAATATGTATTACATAACACGAAGGATTAGCTGCATTTGGGGCAGAGGACTTACTGGCAGTGTGTTTATTTCAACAAGTCCTCAGACCTACATGATCGCAGAGGTCGTCTGTCCCTACCCTTGGACATGACCCACTGGTGCATAAGCATACAAGACAGTCATCACCATGGTAACAACAACAAACACATGGTTAAGGTTGTGGAATGGCCATTAAGTAAAGAAACACTGACATTGAAATGACCTCCTGAGTACATACCAAGACTTGTTATGTTGACCCATCTATCCACTTTGTTTCTCTACATATTATCTTTGTTAACTTCCTCCTTTACTCACATCATAATTACTATGGCACACGACTGTCACATAACAATACACAGAACTGTCGGTCAAAGTAAGCGGAGTGCAGAGACGACCAAAGGGCTCGGATTCAGTTTTAAACTATCACTTAAACAGTTTTTCTGCTGCACTGGTTCCCAAGCATATTGCTTGAGCCTTTATTGAGGACATATGAGCTATGGACAGTTTAACACAAAAGTGATGTTCTCAGAATGAGAATATTGAGGTAAAATATAAAAAGTGCATTAATTAATATTAGAAATACAGTGGCGCTACTTCCTCTACATATTCCCTAGTCTTGTACGTCCATAACTCCACACCTGAAAGGTCTGCACCCAATATCATTCTGCCACGGGGGGAAATGCTCTGTCTTGCTTTTGTTTTTCATTAACAATCACAATTGTTTTGGGTCTTGGGCAGCACTAACCACAGGATGCAGGGTTGTTGGCCACATCGATTTGAGGTTGTTTTAGTGAAAATTGTTTAAGTGAATGCACATTATTGCAAGAAAAATCTCACAAAAAAGAGATTAGACATTAAAACATATTAACTGGGTGATTGCTCGCTTGTTGATCTCCATAAGCGGAATTTGAAAACTAGTGGTGAGAAGCAGAAAAGGAGAATGCCACCTGAAATTGGCACCATATGATAAGTTTATACTCACAGTCAGACTAAGTCAGATCACTACAGTCCCATTGAAACTTAAATTATAACTGTAGCTAGTTACAACTTATCTCCTTTGGTATCAGACTTTATGTATCATACTATCATAAGTAGTGAGAGCTTCTGTGAAACTTACACCATAAATCTAAAACACTTTACGGATTTTATGGCATAAAGTTTACTGTAATATTACAATGATTTTCACACAATGTGGTGGCTTTAGTTACTTTCCTATTATATGATTCAAGAGTTTTATTGACTGCATGTTACTTAATGTCATCTTCTTTTGTAATAGAAGTGATTTAATTTTCTTTTAATATTGTTTAGCTTCGTCCTTTTTAATCTCTTGCTTCTTATCTCTGTTATGGTGGCCAGTTTAAATGACTTAAAGATCAGTAGGTTACAGTTGTCTTGTCTTTAAAAACTACACTATCTTCTTCGACTTTATCTCATTTTTTACAATGTCTTACTCTTGAATTCATAGGTTATTTTCCAGAGAGAGTCGGTCATACCCCCCTCCCTTATCCACCCTCCCGCTTCCACCTCCTCCCTTTCCAGGGGCCCCCTACATGGTCTCATTGACCGAGAGTAAACCCAGGCTGAGGGGGGGAGAAAAAAACACTGTCAACATTATTATCAGAAAACACGCATGGGGCAGTGGGCAGCAGTGTGCTGCTCAAATCCCCTGCCTGTTTACGGGACAATTACAGAGCATTACAGCAGCCACGTCACCAAGAGAGAAATATTTAGGTGCAGCTGCAGGTTGGGCCACATGTGATGTGTATTTCTTGCACATGGTCATGGAGAAGTTATCTTATTATTATTTAAAATGTGCATTTACAAAACTTAGAGTTCACCTAAATCATAAATCATAAATCATCTATGCCGAATCATCTCAACAAATATGATCTTTCTGTGTTAGAATAACAACAACAACAATTACATAACCGTGATCTGCTCCAGCAGCCACGTTTCTGAGGCAGCGTGGATCAGAGAACGCGCAGCTCCGAGAGCCAAACTCGGTTCATTCATTTACGTCGCGTCGTTAATCTTCTGCACAGCGACACAGACCCTCCTGTGGAGACACTAATCCACAGGCTGCACACTGACCGAGCCCCGTGCTGTCCTGACCGTCCGCTGGCCTCCGGCCGCGCGTCTTAACGCACGGCGCGGGTTGGCGCGCGTCTCCGCTCTCAACGTAAACATGTTTTCGTCCAGGCTGCTGCAGCACGGGCTGTGGCACGGAGCGGAAACACGCGCACGCTGCAGCCCGGAGCCGCTAACGGGGAGAATAAAGCTCCACACTCACCTCACAGCAAATATATTCCCAATGCAAAAGGCGCGGGGAGCTTGTTTATATCCGCAGTGTGTTACCGGAGCAGGATTTAACCTTGAGACTCGCCATACAGCAGCAGCAGCAGCAGCAGAGGCAGCAGGGTAGGACTGGACCGATCGCTCACCGAGTTGTACTATATGACCGTCACATGACTGCCAGTGTGCTCCTGAGGTGCTGTAGTGAGAAATAAGAGGCTGCTGCTGCTGAAGGCTCGTCCCCGCTCCGCAGCCTCATTGGACGGCCGCGCTGGGATGGAGGCGGGTCGTCCGGTCTGTCAGTCAGTGTGACTGAAGCGGCGCTGCGTGGAACAACATGTGGACAGAGCAGTTGGGACCTGTCAACACCACAACACAACAACCGGACTGCAGGTGGAGTTGATCATCCGTTTCGACATGATGAAAACAGATCACATTCATGTACTGGTTTCATCTGAAGGATTCTGTGAATTGAGCTGAGCTGCATTAAATGAGTTGTACGATGATAAAGTTCGTTTTTTACAGTTGGAAAAGTTCCAAAACAAACCACATAGAGATGACGTGAAAACAGAGCATAGAGGACAGGGAGTGAAAACTGGGACTTATTTGTTTGCCTCTAATAAAACACTATTGATTAATGTCTGGACTCAAGTCCAACAGGGCAAGTCAAAGTCCCATCACCAAAATCACACACACANACACACACACACACACACACACATACACACACACACACACACACACACGACAGATAAGAGGATCCCATTAGTCCCACAATGGGGACAGTCAAAAAATCAGACAAAATCGACATCAGTAAAAGTTATAATAAAATGACATGCAATATAACCACAAGGAATTATAAGAGTAGAAATAAAATATACACATATAATATATAGATTATATGTGTATATATGTGTGGTGGAATAGAATCAGGTAGGTGTAGGTGTATAAACACAGTTGACTCAGAGGTGGCAGATCTTCTTCTGCAACTTTCCACATTTGATTACCTGTCCAGTCACGTTGTAAATGATTTCATCTCTCCGTGCTCATTATGTTAGTGTTTAATGGAAAGAATATTTCTGTTCTAATGGGGCTTTGTTCTGAGACTGTATTCCTGTTGAGAAAACAATAGTGCTGACAATAGTCTTATGTGTCAACAATATTGTTTTAGTAACGTTATAGTAATTTAAAGTATGATTTTTCTATTTTAGAGTTTTTTAAAGGGATACAGATTTAGTTTACATGACCTTCTTGCTAAATATGATGCATCCTTATATTCAAATGCCCAATACAAAATAAAGAGGAGGAGGATTTTTTTTCTTATTTATTGATCAGATCTATTATTGATATAAAACATTGATAAGTGCAGCTTTAAGTAAAGGATCTGAACATTTGTGCTGGAATATTATCATGCATGAGGATCAACAACATTTTTACTCAGTACATTAAAAGATCATAACTAACTCAGTCCATTCTTGTTCTTCCTTGAAAAGTTGAAAATTATATCAAACTCATGCATTTTCCTCTAAAGTGTTCCTGTTCCTTGTATATATCGATGCTGCGTTACATCAGCTGCAGGTCTCAGCAGCCTGACATGTCTTTGCAAAGTGTCAAACTGTGTATTTGTGATATACTGCAGATCTGGTTTGCTTTTTCTTCTTTAATTTGTCTCTGAAATGCCCCAAAATGTGTGGGTCTGTGTCTCAGTACAGTGTGTGGCATTCAGCCATAATCCCGGTGGTTCCTACTGAGGATATAAAGCTCTGGAATAACCCCACAAATGTGTTTGATTTTCAATACAAAGGTTGAGTGATTTCCCAAAACAGCAGGGCACTGCCATTTTCAGCAAACATTAGTCAAACAGGAGGCAGCAGTGTACAGTATCTTCAGCTGCCATTAATATACAGGGTTTTCCAGCAGCAGGACGGAGCATGTGAACCAAGGTGAAATAAACTATAGCATGTGTTCATGCAGAAACATATAATCAGAACAGTGTGCCTCACTGATGTGATTTCTTTTCTCATTATTTTGGCTTTTGTGCCTTCATTAGACAGTGAAAGTAGGAGAGAGGATGGCAGTGACATGCAGTACAACCTGGACCCTGTTGCTTGGGGCATGTATCTAATACCATGACCCCCTCCTGCGTCCTCCATGAGTCCTCCTGCCCCCTCTGACCTCACACTATCTCCAGTGAAGTATAAAGTAAAGGGCTTGACCAGGCTCTGCAAGGGGCCTAGACAGAACATGCTGCAGTAACTGGATGTTATTAGACCTACCATGTTGTGCAACAGGCACAGCAGCATGTCTGGCTGATCCCACTTGACCTCTTAATCCAGCCATCAAATAGCTGGAGCCCCGAGACTGTCCCCGCAGGACAGGGTGGGGGGGCTGTGCCTGGCTCGCAGATTACAGGCTTGGTCCAGAGGGATGGAAACGCCGTTGATTCAAGGATTAGTCACTTTGCCCTACTTCCTCCTCTCCATCTCACCAGGGATCTGTACAAGCTCTGTTTCAGATGGTTGATGTTACACTTTCTCTCCAGAGATGCTACAAGCCTGAGGAGCTGTACCAGAGCTGAATGTGAATGAGCAGGATGATATATTTATCATAGAATGACTCAGTGCTGACAAATTCACAAGCAGAAAGAGTCAAGAAAGAAGCTGGTCACTTTTTCAACAGAAGAAATTAACTTTTTGATCATTTTAAAACCTTAAATACAAATGTACTTTCTATTCTTAAAGACCTTTCAAAATCTCTCCTCATTGTCGTCTTGCTTTACATAATAGTCTATTGGAGAATTAGACCCACCCACTGCTTACAATGATTTCAACTCCTTTGCTTCCATATCAGTCAATCAAATCAATCAAATTTTATCTGTATAGCCCATATTCACAAATCACAATTTGTCTCATAGGGCTTTAACATGGTGCAAAATCCTCTGCCCTCAACCCTCAACAAGAGTAGAGAAAAACAGGGGACAAGAACGTAGAAACCTCAGAGAGAGCCACATGTGAGGGATCCGTCTCCCAGGACGGACAGAAGTGCAGAAGAAGCCACATGCAATGGAGAACGTCAGAACAATAAGAAGAGGATTACAGCATCGGTTAGAGTAAATAGTATATAGTTTGATGGAGGGTAAATTAATTGATGAATTATTGTCAGTAATGGTAGATGATGATAATGGATTATCTGAGGAGACATATTGTATATCAAGCAGTCTTGTTGTAATTATAGTCCATGACCAGCTGCCACCACGATCAGGATACACCATTACAGTCCATCATCATGATCCACTGCCGCCATCAGGATCCACCATGAGCTGCAACCTGAATCATGGTCCACCACTATGACCAGAAGCCTCAGATGCATGAGACATGCTTGAAGTTTAGTTAATTGATTACACTGTCCTGGTTTTATTGATACATATAACTGGGTGTCATCCGCATAGCAGTGGAAATTAACAGAGTGTGTCCTGACAATGTTTCCTAGTGGGTATACAAAATACCTACTCACATATATTACTATTATTGGCAATACCTCTAATTACAATTGTCATTACTGCTCTCTCAGACTTTATCTGTTGTATAAATACTTTAAACATTGACATCCCTCTTGATTTGTTAGACACTGTCTTTTCTCATGAATGTTGTATATATTGATATTTTGTTGATTTGCTCCGTTAAACGCAACATCTATTGTTCTTCTGTCCGTCCAGAGAGAGGGACATGTGACTGTCTGTAAGGATTCTGCATTTTTTCCCTCCTCATTCTTTTTAATGAACATTTTATGAAAATTTGGCAGAAATCTGTGATAAATTGAACACGATTAATATATTCATCAGAGATTTAAAGAGGGCTGGTGGAGCCATGAAGACTGAAGACTGTGTGAAAATCCCAGTGCCGCTCATGAACCCGGAAATGCAATCTTATCTGCAGTGACATCCACCTGTCTTACCATTTGATTCGTAAAGCTTCTGATAGAGATGAGTTTCTCAAATCTTTCTGAGTTAGAACTCACCCAAACATGGAATGGTTGAAAACCTGATATAGAGCTTTTCGACAGCAGCAGAGAATCTGTCGTAGCTGGTGCCTAATGACAGATATTAACTCCATGTAAGTTTCCCAGAGAGTCGGCATGAACAACAGTTGAGCCCTGGAGCTGCAGCAGCTATTAACAGTATTAGTTAAACCTGTGCTATGGTAGGTCAAAACTCTGGGATAAAGTCAGTTGGCTGAGAGGGACTGCAGGAGACAGTATGCTTGAATTGAAAACTGTCAGTGATTTGTTCATCAAGCAGCAGTCATATATTTAAAAGCTCAGTGAAATAAACTGCTCACACTGAGTAAAATGAGAAATATGCTTCACCAGAAATAGTTCACTGTGACCTGAATTTCTCGATAAACTTTCAATATCTTCCTTTGCATTTCTCCTCTTTTTATGTTTCTGTTTGCAATATGCTGTTTAACCACAGTTCAGTTTTACAGATCAGGAAATGCAAAATGAATGGTGGCTGAATTCCAAACAGCTGTCTGAATTTCATGGTGCTGGTAAGATACTGCTGCCTTCACTGGGACACACTGAGAAGGCAGCCATTGTTAATGTTATACAGTGAGTAACACCTGTGACTTTCCTGCTATGACAAGTAGTCTGCTGTGAAAAAGGCTTAGAGAGGAATGAGTCCCAACACATATGTTTGCATTATTACACTCTGCCAGTGTTTTCTTTAAAAAAAAAGTCTTTTAATTCTTTGTTTCATTTTATGAAATTGAATGTGTTGTTAAATAATCTCACTCAGGATTTTTTTAAGGTTTCACAATGTTTTCCAAAAATGTGGTTGCAAAGAATGGCTTAATAAGACTTGAGAAAGTTGCCAAGGACATTAAATGTCATCACACTGCACACGTAAACCGATCTACTCACCACAGCCTTGTGTTTATTTGTGTTTAAAGCTTTTATTAACTTTTTAAGTGGAGTGGCTTTTGTAGAAGAGTTAACTGTGTTAAATCAAGTTACAAGTTGGACACTGCTTATTGTTTATAGGCTAACGTTGGCTTTTTATTTCTGTTGATTGTATCTATGCTTCATTTGTTTGTAAAGATGATCATACTGAAAGAAATTCAGTTCTCTTTCTAATGCACCAAATCACAAGATACATTATCTGGAGGCACACTCAGGTTGAGACTTTACAATATTATAGAGATCCCAATGAGCAAACACTTAGTGACATTGGAGAGGAAACAAATCCCTTTTGATCTGAAAGAAACCTCCAGAGTATGAAATCTAATATGGTGGTGATTGTGTCAGTGAGATCAGGGAAGCTCTGAAAACGAGCTCATTCAAATCACATTTGTATAGCCTATATTCTCAAATCCCAGTTTGCCTCTGAGGGCCTTGTACAACCTGTCACAGTGAATCCATCACCCAGGACAGACAGACTGCAATAGTAATAATGTCACGTGAAGCAGAGCATGTCAGAAATAATATATCTACACGCATGAGAAAACACAGTATCTAATATAAATGAAGAGGTGTATCAATGTTTTAAGTGTTTGTACAAAAGGGAGCAGCAATGAATATTGTAATGAGGTATGGTCAGTAATAGTCGTATCTGAGTAGTCATATTGTGTATCTGAACAATCTAGTTGTAATCATCAGCCACAAGCAGCTACCGCCACAAACCATGATCTATGGTTGATCCTGGATCTGCCACAATTGGTCTGATTATTGTGACATCTTCAATAAACAGAAGATTTGAAAAAGAGTTGAAAGGGGCCATTCTTACTATGCAAGCATAGGCCATTTTTTACATTACATATCATTGAGCTGACGCTTTTATCCAAAGCGACTTACAATAAGTTCATTCAACCATCACCTTTTTAAACAAGGTGTAGTTGGAAGAGATGTGTCTTTAGTCTGTGGTGAAAGATCTGGTGTCCTGGTGTCAATGTGGAGCTCGTTCCGCCATTTAGGAGCCAGGACAGCAAACAGTCGTGATTTTGTTTGGTGGTTTGCTCGCAGTGAGGGAGCAGCAAGCTGATTGGCGGATGCAGTGCGGTGTGAACTGGCTGGGGTGTAAGGTTTGACCATGTCCTGGACACAAGTACAAGTGTCTTGAAGCAGCCTCTTCAGTGTCTTTGATGGAGTCGAGCAGAACTGTGTTGAATGCTGCAGGTGTGGTGTGTGAAAACAATTCTACATGGCTTGTTAAACCTCCAGTGTGTGAAAATGAGTCCTGTTCATCACTTCAAAATGTACAAACCAAAGGACAAGCCTGAAATATAACTGTACCTATAACTGTAACAAAACAATTGCAGTCTATCTCATTGCTCTGTTACGGACGTCACCATTGTGTATGATTTATATTTGCTGTCATCTTTATGGTCATGAAACTAGCCTGGAAATCTGTCTTGCAGATTTTCTCTGTGAGTGCTTGTAAAGACCACATGGATGATTGTAGATTTAAATAGCTTCCAGTGCAGCTCAGTATGATTTGTGAATGACCGCTTGTCTTCTTCGGTACGTGCAGGGAGTAAAACACACTGCACGGAAATATCGTGCAGTCCGATAATCCTGTGACACAAAGCAGTTTCCTCTGTGCTGCTCGGTGCAAATCCAAGAGAAAAAAGTTCTTGGACCTTGAGTTTGACCTTTGGGTTCAGTTTGTGTTATGTGCTGATCTGTGATCAGATTTAAGCATCATAGGTAGGTCAGAAAACAAATTCTAAACCAGCACAAGTTAATTATAAACCTTGTTAAACTACGTGTGTTGTGTGTTAGTGAGCATACAAGTTCTTGCACGAATGTAGTGGGGTGAAAAGGTCCGACGAAGGCAGGTTGAGACACACAGGGTACATAGCAAATGACTATATAGTAACAATATGATCTTCATTATATATTTCAGCTAAACATCATAAGGGTTATTATTAGTAATACTGTCATCAGACTTTTGGCATCTTTGAAGATGTACATGAGTGCAGGTGCAAACGCATGTTTACATGTTAAACTTGCCATTAGCTTAGTGGTGCCCTATGTGTGGAAGCCACAAGGGAAGCTCTATATGACTAGGGCGCCATCTCCTGGTTCACAAATAGTACTGTGCAAGACTACAGCTGCACTTCTCTTTCCCAGGGAGAGGGGCACTGTTACCCCTCTGGAGTCTGAGCGTGCACAGGCAGATGGGGAAGGACCAACTTAAGTACAAAGGGAACATGTTGGTCCCAATAACAGAATATGGACAAACAATAGTGTGAGGATTTGTGGGAAATGTGGTCCAAACAAATGAGATTGATGAGCACTGATAAGACATTTGTAAATAAGTGAACACATCTGTGAGATCTACTGTCTCTATAAAGTGTCACAGTCCTGTTCCCTTCATTTCACCACCATGTGTTATACTGTGTTATTATTTATTGCTGGACCTGTCAGGGCCATCTGACTAGAGACAACGTATATGATTTTATGAAACAATAAATGCAACAAATATGTTTGAATTGCACATCAACTTACACATGCATAGGCTACAGAGAAGATAAACCACTTTTTAAATTAGTGTTTCTGCTAACCAAACTGGAGAGGAGGCATATAAGAAGTTCAGAAGTGAATATTTGGAGAATCTCCCACTGTCAAGTTTGATGACAAAATGAGAGAAGAGGATCTTAAGACCTGTTTCACCGTCAGCAAAAGTGAGTGAGTAAACCAAGCACAAAACAAGGAGGTGGAGGAGTTAAGAGCAGACACTAAACTCTGGGTAGATGATCAAAGATTAACAAAGTAAAGATGTTGACATTAGAGATGTCCTGGTACCCTGGTCCAGTAAAACTAAAAAGCCTCCTCTAAAAAAAAAAGAGAAAGCGAAATTACAATCAGGGAAGATACTGGAGAACTCTGCATCTATCATGGAACGAGCCTCTTGCTGAAACATATAGTCGAGTTTAAGTGAGAAGCACTCAGTGGAGCCTTGATTATGTCCATCATGGACCAGTGGTAGATAACCAACTAAAGCTACAGCATCAGCAAAGACACCGGAATGTTAATGAAGAGCTGAAATGTTCCCATGAGGAGGCAGATACTCGTCTGCTCCTGTGGATATCTGACAGTTACTGCAAGTGAGGATACAGACGTCCTGAAGCTTTGTCTGGATACTGGAGAGACGGCAAGCTGCCCCCTGTATCAGAAACCACTCAGAATCCACAAATTAGCCACTGGCGATGCTAAACATCTCACAGAATGTGCTCTAAATGTTCGCACATGTAAATATAAACCAAAAAAGGAAAAAATAAATAATGAAAGGGCAAAGACCTGCAAGGACATCAGTGAGATATTTCATCAACGTAGAGACCAAAGGCAGTGCAAATGGATGAGAAGGCTTTGTTTCTATGTGACAGGGATGTAGATTCATATTTTGCTCACATTTAGTCCATATTGAATTTTCCCATTTATTGATGTTTGTAATGGCTAATTCCAACAGCATATGTGCATGAATTTGGAGGGTGGAGCTTCTGAGGGAGTAGTGTATTTGTTTTGGCCTTGAGTTAAAATAGCAACAGTCATCACTTACCCTATCTTTAAGTGGTTTTACTGTGAAGGAAATCCCTATGGTAAAGCATTTAGCTAAATACAGATGGGTCATGGAAGAAAAATCTTGATTGAAAGGATGTGAAGAGCTTCTCTCTTCTGAGTTAGACTGAGAAACTGCTCATAGACTTGACCCAAGAACACTCAAAGCTGTAACTTTGAAACTAAAGAGGCTTACACAGTACTGAATTAAAGGTCTGAATACAAAATGAAATGAGACAAATAAATTAATTAACATGTCCAAACATGTCAATTTTGTTCAATTTGTCATTAGGGCAAAATACTTATCTAAATAAAATGAAAGGTACGACACAAAGTGAGTCCAGCATGAAAAGGTCTGAATGTTGTCTGACATCATTGCATCTTTCATTAGCTCAAGATGAAAACACTGCATCATAAATGAAGACCTCTCAACAAACTGCTGTGATTGTGCTTTAAATCTTTAATCCATCTGTGTTTGGCTCAGCCATTCTGTAAACCCACAGCTAAATAATAAATAAACAAACAGATGAGATTATTACGGGAAGGTAGCCAGTTATTATATACTGTAAATAGACACATCAACAGGCATGTTTTCAACATGATCTCACTACCAACATAGAAAAATAAATCTAACAAAACTTGAGAAATCGAAATGGCACCAAATAAAGCAGATAACCTTCCGGCGGAGGTGTGCACGGCGTCTGTAAGGCAACTGGAGCGTAGACGGCACACTGAGTGTGTGCATGATTGGCAATGTGGCACCATGGAATAGACACCGATGCTGCGAACACCCACAGGACAGAGCAGTCGGAGCCACTGACGTGTCAGTGCTCTCCGGCCCGATTTTGGTACAAAACTGGACTTAAGAAACAAACACTATAATAATAAACTTCTGAACAAAGAATCCTCAAATTCTCTTCTCAAGGTGCATTATCTGTGACATCACGTCCACCCCCTCCTCCAACCATATCGACCACATGTCCAAAAAGGCTTTTAAAGTCCTGGCAAAGCTAGGGCCAACTGTTTGATGGAGACAAACATCACAGGTGAGTTGACGTGAACTGTGGACAGTGATGAGGAGCCAGAGAGACCTCTGACCTGCAGCTCTACTGCTCACTCCAGGTCCTGCAGGTTGATTGTGCTTCCTGTGAACTGGGAGTTGTCGGAGCCGTTGTCATCCTCGGCCATGACTGAAGGTTCCTGTGAACAGAGCCACAGAGCTCAGCTGCCTGACACAGGTGTGCCTGTGTCGACTCACAGGTGTTGGTTGCAGGTGATGCAGATTTAAAACAATAGTAGGCCAAATTAAATGTAATGCTCCTTTTACGTATAATAGTAATTTATCTAGTGGGATAAATCATGTTCAGTAAAACTGTAAAATGAAGTAGCAAAAAGTTAGATAAAACACAATAAACAATGTTATGAAATTAATCTTATTATCACCCACAGTTTCTATAGATACTGTAAATATATCCTTATTGTGAATTCTTTTGGCCCCGATAATGGTTCAGTGTGAATCTGACGTTGTGACAGCTCTTATCATTGCTACTAGTAGTTTGGCCAGTCTGCATTGACACCATGTGGTAAAACCCACCTGTGCTTCCAAATGAATAAATATAAATACACTGTTCAGCTGTCAGGTCAATCAATTAATATTTTATTTTACGTGTTTCTGTTCTTTTCTTATCTACACTTATGACTTTATAAAAAATGAACACAAATTTTACCATGCCTTGATATTCATGTGCTTTAGTGTTTGATTTGCTGTGAAATATAACCTCACTGCATCACAAAATGGATTAAAGGGATGAGAAGCTGAAGATGTCTCACCTGTAAAATGTTGACAGGCAGGTCGACAGTGAGCTGAGAGTGGGAGCTGGAGGGCTGAGAGCTTAGCTGAAAGGCCAGATCTCCATCACTGGCTGGGTCATCCTGCATGCACACACACACATACACACACACTTTGTCAGCATGTCTGAATACAGTCACCCTTTTTAGAAGATGCTGCACAACACAGGTCATCATCATATATTACTTAAAACCTCAGGTGATACATTCAGGTAGAACCCTCATTTTCAATGGTGCAGAGGTACAGCAATACAACTATACAGGGAATACATACAATTTTGGGTCAAGTAGCAATTTCCAAAGATTATTTTAATGTCAGTTGGCAATATCAGATCTACATACTGTATCGAACCAGATGTCTGGGGATCTTACCTGCAGCAACTGAATCTGGACATACTGGGTGCCTGTGACGGGGTCTCGCAGAGTCAGGCCCCCATTGGCTGTTGCAGCTCCCTCACCATAACGAGCACCAGAGGGAGCCAGTGATCCAGGAGCAATAGCTGCCTTTGCTCCTTTGGTTTTTCTTTGACACAATCCTGAAGTGCCTGGATTTGACAACAACAACTTAACCATCACTCACTGTTTTAGATTTGAGTTTTTATCTCGTCTGAATGAGCAGTAGCAAATGATGAGTGTGTTACCAGAGGCTGATGGGCCTCTTTGTTTCTTCTTCTTCTTGGCCAGCTGGATGGCTCTATAGTCAGTCCTGGCTGAACCTCCACTCTCCTGATGCACAAAGTAGACTCATATTAGAACTGAAACCTGTTATGTTCACCATCAATTATTCTGTCAATTATCCAGATATCAGATTTTTGGTCTAGAAAATGTTGAAAAATGATGCACAGTCAATGGTATTTCTTGAAATTTACCAACGGTACAAAAAAACTAAAGATTCCTATCACTTTCATAGACGGATAAGAAAACCTGCAAATGTTGACATTCGAGAGGATGTAGAACAACGCAAGCTCTGTGGGTATGAAAGCTATCAAATTTGTTGGATATTGTTGATTTGACTTAGTGATACATGAGTAATAACTTCGGCTCTGGTTCATTTAAGACATTTGTGCCATTTACAAAAAATATACAGTATGAGATTTTTAATATTTCAATTTCCGATTAAAGACAGCCAATGTATCAGTCTAAAAAAACTCACTAGGAAGCTGCTCGGTGACACAGCGTTGAGTTCGGGGTCTTTCTGAGGGCTGAAGCTGCTGCCATGAGTGGGAAAAACAAACTGAGTGAGGACTTTTCCTCCTTCCGGAGGCCCCAACACCTCCACACAGCCCAACAGTGGTCCTGCTCCCCCCTGACCACCAACCTCAACCACTGTAGAGGGTGAGGTCAGCAGCTCAGCCACAGGAGCCACAGCCAGTGTAGCTGTGGCCTCCACGCTCAGAGCGCTGGAGGAGCTGAGTGGGTGGTGCAGAGTGGGGTCCACAGAGGCACCAGCACCCTGCAAGGTGAGAGCTGTGAGGGTACCCAGGGCCTCTGGGGTAACTGTCTGCACATCATCTAGGTTAAGGGTGCCCTGTGGGGGGAGGACATCACCAACTGTTCCCTCAAGACTGTGGTGGGGGGCCATATCAGCACCGGCTGCTAAAATAAGAGGGTCAACAGTCTTGGCCAAGGTAGTGCTCGAGCTGTTACAGAGAGTGGTCCCAACTGAGGAGGGGTCAATGGTCAGGATGCCTGAGCTGACCAGGGAGAGGTCCATGGTGAAGGCGCTGTTCGAGGTGCTACTGCCAACAGGAATTCCCGCTCCAATACCAGCTGTGGGCGCAGTGCCTCCAGGCACAGCAGAGAAAAGAGAACTGAGGTCCAAGTGGGTCAGCTGATCGCCCCCGGCAATACCAGGCCCAGCAACTGTTGTTGAGGTGGAGCTGATGAGCTCGCTACTGGGGGTCAAGGTGGGCGTGGTCTCCATTTGGTTCAAAACATCTGGCATGGAGGAGAGAGGAAAGAGTGTAAGCATTGTTCCCACAGCTTGTAGTGGAAGAAATTATGTTTAGTATAAACCCTGCATCTCCATATGACTACTGCTCTCATTCATGTTGATATTCCTCGTGGCTGATGATATGAACAAGTGCTCGCCTACAACTACCTGGTGCGTCATATAATGCAAAAATAAAATCCTACATATACGCCTCGTACTATCATTCTGTGCCACTGCAGTCAAGTACATTTCCTGACAAATATTTTTCCGTCTATAGTGAAAGATGTATATGTGAACATGTTTTTGTATTTTCTTTCTATTGTATTGCCTACTTCATCCTATTATAATATTTTCTCGTGTTCACTTCTGCTGCTGTAATTAATTCCCCTCAAATTTATTAAAACAATGCGCTCCAAAAATCTGAGATCACTTTGAACTGTGAGCTTATTCTGTACTGCTGCTCAATGTTTACAGGTTTCATAATTCATGAATTGGAATTTTGATAATTCTTCATTAACACTGCCACATCTACATACATAAATTATAACATGCACAGTATAGTAAGAAATCTTTTTTAATATGCACATATATTTTTCTGCCAAGGCTGTGACCTGTAGTCGCATCTATTCCATTTATACAATTTCTATTAATTGACTTATAATAAGTGTTACTACCATGACACCCTGCTCCCCATAAAAAAAACATCAAGTGTATTCCTTCTAAGGTTATGATTTATCAGTGAGAGTTACTAACCGGGGCTGAGGTGGTGGTGTTTGAGCATGTGGCTCTTAAGACTGCTGCGTGAGGAGAAGTGCTTGGAGCAGTTGGCCACAGGACATCGGGTCCTCAGGGTGCTGCTGTCTTGCTTATGCTTCTTGGAGTGGATGTACAGACTGCTGCGTGCAGAGAACTTGGCATTACAGCCTGAGAAAAAACACAAAGGAGACAAGTGTCAAAACATGATAAACTGTTCAGAATATGTGATATGATCAAAACATGCCCATGTCATTTTAATCAAGCATGTACAGTATAACCATTGACTTTCTCCCAGTAGAACATTTGACTCCTACCTTCTGCATGGCACTGGAAGGGCTTGGTACCCAGGTGGGTGATACTGTGACCCTTGAGGTGCTCTGCCCGGGTAAATGACTTGCCACAGCCCTCCTCCGTACAAACAAAGCGACGGTCATCATCATGTTTCCTGATTAACATAGAGAGGGCTGTGGTCAGTGAGACATACTCATACTAAATGGGTGGACAACCAGCAGAGGTGGATATTAACACTGATCTTATGTTACTATTGTTTTAAGGTCTTGACCTTTAAATGTAAAGTGCCTTGAGATAATGTAAATTATGAATTGGCGCTATATAAATAAAATTGAATTGAATTGAATTGAATCTCACAGATTCATGTTTAATGCAGAAAATGCAGAATCGATTGATATATTATTCAATTTGATTTGACTCTTGATTATTTAATTTCATCAGATGAATACCATGTTGCATAAACTTATCTCAGAAATTATTCAATTTGAGAGTAGGGTTGCAAAAAATTCTTATTTTGATAATCAATTAATTGATTATTAATCTAATAAAAAGACAAAAGCTACATTTTACCCTTTCCAGCAGTTTCTTTGAAGAATTACTTCATTTTCCTGCACAATGCTTTATGTTTATTACAGATATCTGCAACTTAAATATGATGATAATTCCAGTTACATACAATCAATCTTCAAGACATCTTCCAATTAAATTAAGTTTGAACTAGGCAGCATGGTGTTGTAGATGTTGTAGATGTCATGAACATAATAAAATATCATAATTCAACTGATTTGTAGATATCTATAATGAAAAACCAGACAAAAGGAATGACAAAAGTAGTTTGAATCTTCCTATGTAATTATAGATATATAAAATTGGAGTTTTGAGTAGTTAAAACTGATTCTAAGAGAATGTTTCAAAGTAAGAATGATTTTATATTTTATACACACACACATATATATATATATATATATATATATATATATATTACACAAAAATTCTTACTAGACACAGGGAAAATACAACCAGTCAAAATTAAGTTGTTGACAATGTAATTGTTTATTCTGGATAGTTAAACTTGGTTAAGAAAAGTTAAAAGGTCCTGCTGAATGTGTCTGAGACAGAGAGCTGTCTGTGTGACCATAGGTGTATCTATCTCACACTATCTCTGTTACTCACAGCAGACGAGCTGCACTGAGTTGAATTCATGTCTGTATTTACACAAGACCTCTTCCAGCAGATTGTTTTTGTGCTTTAGAACATAACTGCTGTGAAACAATCAGAAATGTACAGTTTGTGTTTTTGCTGCACTGCTTTATGTTCACCGCTCCCTCTCTTCATTAAGCCAATAGGTGTCTCTACCACTGCTGCTCTCTCTCTCCTCGTTGAGTCATGGAAGTGACAATCGAAGTGTGACTATTTTAAGTTTAAGTAAAAAAGTTTAGCAGTGTTTACCTCAGCTCTCTTTCAAACGTTTACTCAAAAAAGGACCTACATCACGTGAGCTACACAATGCAGGGAAGTATTCCGACAATACACATTATTTATTACAATCACTTACAATAATTTGACAACTTACCGTTTGTGTCGCAACAACTTGGACATGCTGGTGAAAGACCAGGCACAGCCCTCAGAGTCGCAGACAAACGGCCTCTCACCTGCAAACAGGAAACTGAATGTATTTACAGTGAACATGATCTGAGATCTTAAAACACTAGACCTGAGTTCACATGCATTACACTTAAATTCAAAATCACAGTTTGAGATGTAAACCAAGTAGGATTACTGTAAAAACACAAATAATTTGTATGTGATCACTATGACAATGAGGCTTGACAGAAGCACAGAATATAGAAATAAAATCACTTTCTTGACTTATTTAAGCCTACTTCAAAAAACTATTCAAAGCCTTAACTTTTCCTCTCTGAAATTCACAAACTTTCATGAATTTCAAGGACTTGTGGGGGCATGTGTGCAGCCCAGTTCAGACACATTCTTAGTTCTGTAACATTTTGGAAATGTGCAACATTAACAGTTTCTCTCCACTGACATGAGAGAACAAAGAGCAACACATTCACAGCATCATGTGATTGGAGAATGACTTGCTTCTTAAAAAAACTGCATCAAACATCTCTGTTGCCTCCTGTGACTATTGTAGTGAAAGCAAGTCACCATTCACTGACCCTTAAACTCCAGACTAGGAGCAATGTGTGGGGACTGGTTGGGGGGGGGGGGGTGACAATGTTACTGACATATCTAGTGTGTGCTTACCCGTGTGACTCCTCATGTGGATCTTGAGGCGACAGGCCTTGTCGTACGTCTTATCGCAGCCTGGGTAAGTGCAGGTGAAGTGGCCTGTTTCTCTGAAGTGAGTGCGATTATGGGAGAAGAGGGCACTGAAGGTGATGAAGGTTTTCTCACAGCCTGTAGATGTGACAGGAAAGTGCATGTTGCACCGGGAATATATGAACAACTATTGATTTATACACATTAAGATAATTGTAACAATGGGATTTTTACAGATGTACTGTGTTAAATTCAGAAAAATGTCAACATTAAACAGACTAAAATAAGGCTCAACAACATCTTTAGAACAAAGAATCCAACTGGTGAATGTGAAGTGTGTTTTTTTTAGCAAAACCTTACACAAGACCTTACCAGTGCAACAACCATTGTGGGATTATGCAATATTAGGCAGATATGATCAGCTGATGGAGAATGTGGGCACGGGGTGGGCTGAAATTGTAAAATGAGCTTGTGTTACCTGGGAATTCACACTTGTGGGGTCTCTGAGGCTCAAAGTGGACCCTCTGGTGATTGGTGAGTCGTGCAGCGCTGCGAAACCTCTCGCTGCAGATCTCACAGATGAAGGAATTATCATGCTCGTGGACTTTGACGTGAGCCTTGAGGTTGTACACGGTGGTGAAACGCCGCCCACAGCCTTCAAACTGGCAGGTATGTGGCCGCTGCTTGTCATGGGACTGAAGATGCCGCTTTAGCTTGTAAGAGGTAGCAAAAGCCCAGCCGCAGCCCTCTACGGTGCACTGGTGGGGGCGGGGATCCTCTGCATGGTTCAGGAGGTGAACCTTGAGTTTCTGGCGTGTGTCAAATGTGCTGGAGCATCCTGGTTCTGGGCAGCAAAAAGAGGCCAACGTCTCTTTCTTAGACCGGACTGGTGGCACAGACTGGAACTCCTCGCTGTCACAGCCCGCCACAGTTAATCTGGGGGCTGGGGTCACCAGATCAGCCTCTGTCACTGCACAGAGGACCCCTGGCTCTTGCTTGATGATGGTGCAGGAGTCCAGAGAAGTGCCCAGCTCTGATAGTGAGCAGTCATCGACCAGAGCCAGCTCAGAGTCACTCACTGACAAACCAGCTCTGGGCTCTTCCTGCTGGCTGGTGCTGGATACTGCTAATGTGCTGATCTTCCCGATGGATTTAGTGCCACTTTCATAGTTCAGCAGAACAATATCCTCATGGTCTTTCATGCCCAGATGCTCCTTCAAGCTCACCATGTCATCATCTTTGTGCACGTGACCCTCTGGCGGAGCAGCCAGAGTCAGGATCCCGTTTTCTATGGTCACTACGATGCTTTGGTTGTTTATCATAATAGTTCCGGAAAAGGTTTCGCTAGCAGGCGGACTCGAGGAGGCCGTGACGGGCTCTGCATCGTCCTGCAGCCCCGATGAGTCTGAAATAAAGTCCGAGGTGTCCATGGCTTCCGCGACGCCCGAGCTCCCTGAAATCAAGGCACTGCTGTCGTCGACACGGGACTGCGGAGAAAGCGCCAGTTTACCTCCGTCGTTTTCTGTGCAAATCTGGCCACATATCTTATCGCCATATTTGTTGGTCAAAACTACGTCCTCGATGGTTCGGTGACACGCAGCCTGTTTAGCGCACACAGCGGCACAGCCACTGTTCAGCACATTGAAAACATGCTCCGTCTTACTCACGGCCTGTACGTCCACACAGCTCGGGCTGTCGCTGGACTCACGGAGAAGAAGGTTACTCCCGTTCCCCACCTCCATGAAGGGACGCGCTGTGCACCACTCCTGCTTCTTACCCTTCACTTTACCGCCGTCCGTACACGGTACATCCGCCCCGGGTTGGCTCTCCTCGCCATCCTCTTGAAGCACGTTAAAAACCACATATAACTCCGGGGTGGGTCTGTCCGCCCTGCTCGCCCCGCCGAAGCTCCCCGGCGCAGCGGAGACTCGGCTGCCCAGTGGAGGCTGCTTGAAGGCGCCGTCCTCACGCTGCTGCTGCTGCTGCCGTAAACCTGGAAATGGTAACGTTAGCTGCCGCTGCTGCTCCGGTTCCTCTTCCCCTTCAAACAGAGGCAGCGCCATTTGCATTCCGCTGTCCACACTCTCCGCACCGAGTCTCCAGGCACTTCTGACGGACTCGTGGGAACCGAGCAGGGCGTTGAGCTCGTTTTCTTTCTCCGTGTTCACGTCATGAAGTCCGGCACTTTGTTTGTGACCCGGTACGTGAGCTCGGTTCGCCGGCTGCGGTTTGCTAAGAGGTACACAGCCCGTCCCGCTGCCATTTTCCGCCAGCAGGCGAAACGCAGATGTCCTCGGCCTGGTGTTGTTGTTGTTGTCCCTGTGTGGTTCACACTGCTCCGGCTGAGCTCTCGGTCCTGCCGCTGATCGAAGCGGGGACGAAGGGGCTCCATGTAGGGCGCCATGTTGAGAGTGGATGTTTTGGGCATCAGATAGCCCCTGAATTTCCATCTTGGTATCCCTGTAGCAGCGACACACAAAAGGCCCGCCCTAGTGCACACACACACACACACACACACACACACACACACACACACACACACACACACGCACACACACGCACTTACAGTATACACACACACACACACTTAAAGTACACACACTGTATACACACACACTTAAAGTACACACACACACACACTTACAGTATACACACACACACTTAAAGTACACACACAGTATACACACACACTTTCAGTATACACACGTTAGTAGGTGACTTGTTGGTGTGACTGGTAACAACAATATAAATACATATTTTAATAGATATAATATTTACTCTACAGATTCCAGCATCACAACACTATGTGGCCGTATATAAAATATGGACCCTATGTGTTGGCTATATTCTAGCTCATCCTCTGAGGGGTGAGGTTCACACTGGTCAACAATCCATCACTGGCATAAAGGACAAACCACCATTCAACAGCTCAGGTTCAAACCTACAGACAGCTCAGAGTCCTCAGATAACCTGCGTGTCTTTAAGAAATGTTAAACAGATTATTCCAAGAGACATACATGAGGGCCCCCTGAATATTTTCAATCTTGTAGGAGGTCCTTAGCTGAGGAAAAATGATGACTATTGCCTTCCAACTTGTTTTATTGCATCAATGGATACATGTGCATCAGGTACCACTATTTAGAATGTAAACCCTTCTGTTCCTCGTCTTCTTGCATGATGAGTCACAGAGCAACACATCCAGTCTCAGTCAGTGTTCTTTCACCCTGTTTCCACTGAGTGGCAGCACAGTACAATAAAACAGAGAAAACTCTGCACAGCTCCTCCGATCCACGATTAAACCAACGTTTAAAGAAAGTGGTGCACGCAGTGTTCGCTCCTCATCACCTAGTAAACTTATTGTTCGATAGTGGAGAATACTATGTATCACAATAACCGAATAACAATAAAACATAGGATGTGTGACATAAACAAAATATTTTTATGTAACATCCTCACTCACAATTTGACAATTTCTTTCTATCCATCCATCCATCAGTCTGTCTATCTATCATGTATGTGTAATAATAATGTTCACAATAGCAAATAGATCTTTATTGCCCACTGCCTTAAAGGTCCAGTGTGTAAGATTTAGTTGACAGGGATCTATTGGCAAAAATCTAATGTAGAATAATTAATCCTCATGATGTTTTCACTAGTTTGTTTCATCTAAATTATATGAATTGTAGTTTTCTTTACCCCAGAAAAGGTCCTTTATATTTAAATACTTTATATTTACATGGAGGAGGTCCTCTCTATGGAGGCTGCCATGTTTTTTACATTAGTCCAGACTGAACAAACTAAACACCTTTTGAGTTTTTATGACTGAAGCTACCACAGGTTCTTTTTCATGTTTGGAAGGAGAGGGTGAGGTGAGGGGTGTTCAGCTGCAACATGAAACTTCAAAATTAGATATCACAAAATTCTACACACTGTACCTTTAAATAATATCTTTATTTGGTTCCCAAGCAAAAGATAGAAAACAGTGACAAAGCTATAAATTACCTGTGACCAACACAAATGGAGACAAAACTAACAGATACACATTTAGAGTATCAGAGAGGAACAAAATGGAAGGAAGACCGTTCACAAAATATCCTGTACATCACTTTCGACGTATTTAAATCTGACCTACATGTAGACTGCATGGATCACGTTTAACTGGGGAGCATTAGTGAGCAGTAAATTGTTTGTCAGTGTCATTAACTAATACTGTACACACTGTATAGAAAGCTTCACATGCTTCATACAAAAATATCCAAGAGGTTACATGTATGTGACTTTGGGTTGGTGTACTAGTGGATAGTAACACACACATGCATGTATGTTTTAACACTATGATACAAATCTACCCTACTATTCATGTGTCTCAGTCCTATATGTTTGGGATTATGTTGGCAGTTCCTTCAAGTATATTGTACACAATAACAGTAGAAATAGAAAGAACGCTCACAAGTCAGCACATGTGGGAATACAGTTTGAAGTCATTTTCAGAATAAAGATACAGATAGTTTTCTAAACAAGTACAATCATTGGCAGCATATCAGCCCAGTAAGCATGCAAAAGAACAGATGTCCTGTGTTGTCATATAAAAATAGAGTCCTCCCTTACACACACACACACACACACACACACACACACACACACACACACACTTGTAGAATTATGACAGAAATAAGGCCACATATCCGTTTCCTTTCTGATACAATATGACACAAGTTCAATAGTGATGAATCTATTTGTTATTGTTGGCTTGAAGGAAATCTCTCCAACTTTATGTGTTGCTGTCAGGTTGAACCATTTCTCTACGTTCCAAAGGTCAGAGACAGTTTTAACCAGCCTGCACAGAATCTGTTTTTAGATCCAGTGTTCAGGGAAGAAAATAGAGCTCAACCTGTTACAGTAAATTATATCTGGGGTATAGTCAAGTACTCACTTTTGCTGGATTTGTTCATACACACGACAAAGGCATAACAAACTAAATAAAATTTAAAAAACAGATAAGTCTGAAAAAAGTCTAAATTCTTTGCTAAAAAGCCGGTTTATACAGCTGCTGGTTGACAGACCGACACAGGAGAAATGCAGCCGTTTATCAAACAGCAGAAGTGACGAGGGAAATGTGTGCATACATTTTAAAAAGCAGTCAGCTCTCATAACAGTGTCACTGACACAGCAGTATATGCACTCAGTTGTCGGTTTATTAGGTACACCTAGCTAACACTAACATAGTCACATACAACAGTTCACAAGAGAACTGCATTATGATGAATTTGTCAAAAGCATTCAAACCAATGATGGTAGGCTAAATAACAAATGCAATAGTTATACAGTATCAGTATACTATATGAACTATATCCTTTTATTATAGAGTAAAATCAACTCTTCGACACAGTTCAAACACAAACTGATGAGTATAACCATCACAGAGGATGTTTGCAGGACTGCTGTATTAGACTGTATTAGTTTTACCTAATGAACTAATAAAAGAGTGTATACCAAACCACTGCTTCAATTTCCACAGTTTTTCCTTCTCTTTCCATAAAACAAAATAAAGGAAAGCAAAGGTGACCCTGACACATCCACGCATTCTCTGCTACATATGAAATATTCTGGACTGTGAAATGCACACTGATCAGCTCCAGGCAGCTTCAGACAGAGGCACCCACAGTCAAGAATGATTCGCCTCAGCTGAGAGTGTTACAATTTAGAGGAAGAGGCTGGACAGCGGAGCACACTGATATGAGGATGTCCTTTGCAACCGGGGCTGAAATAAATTGCCCAGCCTGATAATGTTAAATGGTACGCTTGCCGGAGAAAGTGGAGGTGCTGGAATGGAGGATATTTTAGTACGTTCTCCAATTTGAGCCAGTTTCAGGGCCACAAATATATTTCCTGCTTGCAAGTGTCTCCCTTCATGTCCATGTGGGATTAGTTCAGACATGACGATGCTCCATCACTGGATATTGACCTTGAAAGGCAGAGCATTCATTACCCCCTCAAGGAAAAACATTTGAATGTCATCTTCAGCATAGAATAATATACAGCATACACTTTCATGAAGCAATAAAAACAACTGGTGTCCCCTGGTGCTGAGTTGCCACGATCAGGACAGGATATCATTTCTACTCCACAATTTTCAGTTTCCTGCGTTACCGTCAAGCCTTTGAAATGCCCTGAGAATTAATAAACAAGGAAATGGACATCTTTCTCCATACTGCCTTTCTTTGCAATTGATAGCAAGCACATTGTCGGCTACTTCAGGATTCATTACTATATTGGAGCAGACAGAGCCAGAACCGAATAAAGGAGGATGAAGAATCAACATCAGCAGAAGTTGGGTTTTAAAAAAAAAGGAAAAAAGAGAATCAGTGACTGAGGAAAAACAGCCAAATGACATTTAAGTGCAGTTGTGTGTGACAGCAGAGCTGGGTGTTGCACCTCCAGAGGGAGTATAGTGACAGGAGCTGACAGAAGACAGAACGAGAAACATTAAAAGATCAAAACTGCATTTCTTTTACACTTGTGATCCAGATCTTGTCAGAAGAATCCTTTACACATACACTTTTATGATGGGATATTTTCTCTTCTGGAAGTTGTCCCTTTAAGTACACTGTGAAGCAGTGAACAAGCCTGACCCGGTTCCTCTTAACAACTCCTGGAAACCATGCAGAACACACATGCGCACACACACTCACACATGCCCTAATTTTCAGGCATGCATGTTGCGTTCCTTGGTGGTGGTTGCAGTGTTGGTGGACATTGAGGGGGATTCTGAGGTGATGGGCAAGGGGGGCCGGGGTTCAATCCCCCGACTCTTCATGAAGGACAGCAGCTGGTCAGGGATCTCTGCCAGGACGTCCTTGGCTAGGCGGGCCATGCTCAAGACCTGATTACCAGAGCGGTCGATGTAGTCCCTGAAAGGAACGAACTGGATGGGAAAAGGAGAATGGAAGATGATAGATGATAAAAAACATTTTCTACTTGATAAATTGTGTTTACCTCTTAGTTGTTGCACGTCAAAGTGGCTATTGAGAATTAGCTTGGAATTGCACGTGGATTTATTTAATTGACTTGAGATCTGATTCATTTGTTACCAAACTATGCAAGTATATGCAGGTATATGGTGTATACTGATTGATTAGTTAGGACAACGCTATCAGAGTTAGCCAATCAGAGGCATAGTAGTGCCTGCCATGTCTGTGTTTGTCTTCCTGCAAAAAAACATCACCAGCCCTTTACATGACGTCCTGATTAACTGAACAGTTAAAAAAACACAACATAGTTCGGCTTCTATTGAAATCCAAACATGAAGCAAACCACCCAAACAAAACCTTCAGCAGAAAAGACCTTGTGCTGCTACCTCGGTGCCAGCAGCTCAGTTAGCGATGGTAGTTCAGTGCCAGAACCAGTACGTGCTCCACCGCCATATCCCCCACGTCCCCCACCCCCTCAGAGAGGATGCTGATAGTGACAACAACTTCAAGAATTTGTCAACCACGGTGAGCACTTTCTAATGGAAGAACCATTTCAATTACGTGAATAATATTTAGTGGAGTTATTTATATAGTGATATTTGTAATATTTAAAACTGTAATATTTATACAGTAATATTTGCAAACTGCCCCATGACAAATCATTTTAATTTTAAAATAGTGGCACACTCTTTCAAATCAGCGACAGTTTACAAAAGAAACTCATAGAATATTCAGTTGACTCAAAACCTATCATCATGCAGTTATTCTGCCATGCAGCCTAAAGTCTGCGGGCCAGTACTGATGAAAAATCTGCATCTGCATCAGAAATTAACTGACAAACACAATTGGCAAATTCTTTGGGAAACAAAATATGCAAATGTCATCTTACGTGTCACTGTTTAATCAAGGTTTATTCTGCTGGAAGTGGAAAGAGAGTGCAAACCAGGGGACTCAACTTGACTTGATTGCTACTGATACTTGTAAAAGTCATCCACAATGTCCTGTACACCACAAACAGCATTTTTGGGAGCAATCATGTGAACACACCTCTGTCTACTACCTAATGTCTCATTGGCCTGTGTTCTTCTCTCGCACTGAGGACTCAAGCTTGAGTCCCAGAACTTGCGTTGTGTAACTTTAGTCAAACTTCAGTGTTTTAACCAAACCACTGCAGGATGCAATTCTGAGCCACATCTTGTATATTCAGCTCCATGCAGGTGGTTGCAGGTCACAGTGATACACTTAAAATCAACATTAAAGGACAAAGAGCAGTAGTGTGTATGTAGAATATACTGCACCTGGACAATGTCTCTCTCAGCTAAGCGCCCCCTGGAGGAAACTCTGACTTCATCCCCATCCAGCTCCTCCATAGCTGCAGACAAACACAACATTTAGCTGTTAGGTAGGAGGCATTATATATTGAACATCCTACATGTATTTTATACAACAAAACTAGATGAGCTGCAAATCTAGACAACCCTGTCTCCTTACCCTCATGCTTCTATATTATTAAACTGCAACTGCAAACAATTGCACAACAAAAAATGTGTCAGGTTTAGACAGAACATATCGGTAAAATATTCATGTTTGTTTTCGGACAAAAAAATCAATATCCACATAGTGACATACGGAATTTGTTTATGGTTCTGTTTCACAGAAATATTGCAGTCTGATTTACAACAGAAAGTTTGCATTGACTTCAGAGACAACATGTTTATCTACATTTAACTAAAATACCTCTGTTGCAGAAACCAATCCACTGATGGGACTCGACCGCTGTCCACCTCATCCATCCCCTAACACCTCCGCTGCTGTTAATACATGGCCTCTGAACACCAACCAGCCAGCTTTACATTATTTGGTGAAAAGTAATTTCTAGTGAGCAGAATTTGAATAGGGGACTGACCTTACAGACAAATATCGCATAATAAAAATATCATCAACACCATCAAACCAAGTTTTAACAAGCCAAAGTATTAGCCTGATTGTTCAGTTTTATCAAAACATTATATGAAGATCAGTTTTCTGTTCTTTCTATTCCAAAATATGTGTTTGAAGAATGCAATATACTTTAATGTATTAGCCTCTATTAGCCTCCTGATCCTGTGTAAGATGAGCGGCTCCTTTTTGTTAAATGTGGTGTATATGTATGTGAAGTTATCATGGGGAGATCAGTTCACAGTGCTTCATTATTCTATTATTTATTTTCACAACTGGTGTTCTTGTTTCCATCACTGTTAGAATTCATTATAAATCTGCAGTACAAAGTTTGGCTGGCTAACTGAACTCCACTTCCAGAGTAAACAACATTAATTACCTCTCACAGGAAATAGTTCACCCACAAAATGTACAATATTGTTGTTGAAAGGTTTTTCATTTCAATCCTCTGAAGGAGTTCTTTGTCTAACTGTGCAATGGTTATGTTAGCAAACACAACAGAAACACAGAAACACAGAAGGTGATTAAGGGAGAAAACCTCTTTTAGACCCATGCAACTCAAACTAAATAGTATATTTTAAACCAGAAATGTATAAGTTTAGCAGAGGTGTCCCACTTCACACCTCAGGAGGGGGATTATTCACTGTACGTTTCAGTCTCACCCTTTCATGTGAGTAGGATTAAGTTTGGTTATTTGCAAAGTGCATTCACCCTTGTCCACAGGGACCCTGCGTCCCTCTGTCTGAGTCTCAGAAGGCAGAGTGAGGCACCAATTATATAGTGGGAAGTGGAAAGAGATGAGGGGAAAAGAACAAACTGAGAGGGAATACATAAAGTTAAAGCAATTTAAAAAAAGATTTGTGTGTAAATGAATGAAAGGGTCAGTGTATCCAAAAAATCTTCAAAATAGTGGAATGCAAGAGTGGTTGACCAATAAGAAATGCTCTATGCTGCAAGTAAAGGCTCATGTGCTTTCAGGAAGTACTTCCTCCTGAACAAGCACTTTTGGGGGATAGAACATTTCCCAGAACTTAATTTCGACCCTGCTGGGTCCTCAATATGAATTTGACTTAATTCAATTTTATTTGTATAGCACCCAATCATAATATAAATTATCTCAAGGGCACTTTACAAAGAAGGTCACGACCTCAAAAATCATAGAGAAACCCAACAGTTTCCAGGATGAGATAGCACTTACGACTCACTCCTGCTCACCACAGTTGTAAAGAGTGGATACACACGTCAGTGCCTTGTTGAGTTCGGTCTTTTCCCGGAATTTATAATAAGAATTATATACTCAAACATAATCTTTCATGCAATGGAATTAACTGATAGGGGTTCAGTGCTCAGAATACGCCAAATGTGCATCAAATGTGTGTAATTCTTACAAAATACCTTTGTTTTCAGTTACACAGTCAAAAGATGTGTCTTGCTGTGTCATGGTGTTATTCCTACATTTGGTGGTTTGTAGTTCTCAGTAAAACTTGACAGTGTTGTCATTTGATGTTGCCTTAACGTTTGATTTTCCTCAGGTCATTACTCCAATTCTCCACAGAGATTAAGAAAAGTTCATCTTTCCTTCTGTTGTCTTCAGAACATTTTTTGAATGAAAGCTACACTAACAGTTTTGGCCCATTTTTTATCAAATTTTCAAACTCTCAAATGCTTCCTAAAATATGCGTGACGTGTATTTTTGGCAGCACAAGGAAACAGGCAGACGAGCCTGAGGGAACAGAGAAGAAAAGACGCAAGAGTGGATGAAACGAGTCAGAACAGAATTTGTAATAATAATAAACTTCTGATTTCAAAAGGCTGATCCTCTCACGGTGCTTCCTATGAGGTTTGATGTGGAGGTTTCATCACTAAGAGAGCAGACCTGGGCACAACAACAACTGAATACATTTAGAGCTCAGAAGTCACAGTAGGAATGCATCATATATTCTCCTTTGGAAACCTCATCTCTGCTTTTCCGGCTTTTCAAGCATCGCAGAGGGTAAGTCAGGTACACATGGACAAGTTCAGGATGCTGAGCGACAGAAACTGTGAAATGTTCTGTTGAGGCCACACCGACATTGACAGGAGGCGAGTCAAAGGAACAACAAAGATGATTCATCAAATGCAGCAGTGAAGCTGTGCTCTTGTCACTTTCATTCCTGCAAGTGTCTCAGCCTTTAGTCTTATTTGATTCAAGTGTAGTGGACCTCTGTCTGTACAGTTCAATCAGATTGGTGACTGAGGTAGATGGATTTAGAAATAGCTTCACCACATGTCCACCATCTTATTCTCTAATTCTGCTTGAGTTTCCCCATGCTGTGCCACACACAAGCTCTCACCTCTATTTGCTGCCTGCACAGTGACACAGGCCCCAATGTTGGACTGGTCCTTTCTGATTGATTTTGTCAGTAAACTGCAATTTATTTCCACAAGGTTCCAAAAATGAGCTATGAAAATACCTTACCTTTTCTACCTTACCTTTCCTACAATATGATAGTTTGGGAAATTGGAGGATTTTTGGATTGGATTGTAAGGTTAATTAAATAAAACACAATTAAATATAAATGTCAGCAAAAAGGATTAACTTGTATAATTAAATCAATATTAAATGTGGACCAAAGTTTTAATAGGATGCTGATGAAATATAATTAGCAACATGAAGAGTACAGTATATATCAGTTTTATACATTCCAGAAACAGTAAATAGGAAAATTGAAAAAGATAATCAAATGAATATGCAATGGAAAATGATTTAGGTTCACTGTGCAGTGGCATCATGTGGTGAAGTTTCAACTGGCCCCCAATTGAGCCCCCCTTTCTAGTGTATAGGAGAGCCCATTGATCAGATCTGCACTGTGCATACAAGTATATGATGTCACTTTTGTTCTCGAAAACATAGCCAGAAATAAGAATCTCTCATGAAGCGTAAAACTATAATCCTGTTGAAGAAGAATATTTTCTGAGCCTTTGAGAATTGGATAAAATGAATGAAATGAAATTTAAAGTTTAACAAAGACTCTTGCCAACAGAGAAGCAGGGACCCTGTGCTCAGGGCAGAATTCAGACTACACAATAACATCCTGAAAACGGGCCAACCCAACAGATGTTAGGTGCCTGAAACCAAATTCAGCATCAGATGCAGAAAATGCTTTTAATCCATCTAATGAGTAAATGTGGCACACAACCATTGTCTTGGATCAATTATAACATTGCAACAGAAAGGTTATTGAGTCATTCATTTGACGACTTGCAGTTGTTGTTCCACCTTAATAACAAATATGGGCACTGAACCATCTTCCATCCGTGACTGCAAACATGGAGATGTGAAAGTGATTCTGCTTCTGAACAGGAATGAAATTCTATTCATATGCATTGAATGTGTAACCATTATTCCTGACATGAATTCTACATGTGAGCTTATATTATTCTTCAATATATGTTTATATAACTATGATATGAATATATTCTCTATTGCTGAAATATCACGTAGTTTGTTCAAAATGGGTTGTGTGTATTCAAGATGGCGACAGTCCTTTATCTGAAGTCTCAGGGACACCCTCGTGCTTGAGGAGCTTTAGGGTGTGTGAATTTTATATTTGTTTAACGTTTTGTGATGTTTTGTTGAACCAGCACCCGTAACATTTTTCACTGGATGTGTGTGTTATTCCCATTTTTTGATTTCAAGAACTTTATACCACATGATTTATACCTGTGGGGTCAATGTCCCCTTCTGTGCACATTTTTATCCTCCACACTCACACTCTCACTGCCCAGTGACTCCAGCTTCACATTCCTTCACAACATTATGATTATGTCATAAACATTTGTCCATTGTCCTGTCAGACAAACACTAAAGGTCCCATAGTACCTCACCCACCTACACTACACAGGCTTGAGGAAGGGTGGATGCAGGAATTCATGACCCTTCTATCTCCTCATCTGACAGAGAGAGCATCTCAGAAGACTTAAATACCTCTTTGTTATCAGGTTGCTCCAATAAGTCTCTTAGGACTTTGCAGCTAATTCAGAATGCTGCTGCACGTGTTCTAACAGGAACCAAGATCAGAGATCACATCTCTCCCATTTTGGCTTCTTTACATTGGCTACTGGTTAAATCCAGAATAGAATTTAAAATTATCCTCCTTACATACAATGCTCTTCATGGGCAGGCAACATCATATCTCAAAGAGCTCATAGCACCCTACTACCCCTCCAGAACACTACGCTCTCAGAATGCTGGGTTCCTTGTGGTTCCCATAGTCTTCAAAAGTAGATTGGGAGCCAGAGCTTTCAGTTATCAAGCTCCTCTTCTGTGGAACAAACTACCATTTTGGGTTAGGGAGGCAGACACGGTCAACACTTTTAAGAGTAGACTTAAGACTTTCCTCTTTGATGGAGCTTATAGTTAGGGCTGGCTCAGGTCAGCCCTTAGTTATGCTGCTATAGGATAAGACTGCCGGGGGTGATTTGATATCTAATATCTGCAAAGATCTGTTGTTAGAATATAGAAAATACCATGCTAGGTTTCTTGCTGTGCAGCTGCTGAAAACACCTCTCAGTTCAGCAGCGAGGACATGATATCTTTGTTCTGACCAAAGTAATTGCTTGCTATGTCAAAATAGATGTTGTTGTACAACAATGTAATTAAACTGTAATGACAAATGTAAATAACAAATGAAAGGGAGGAATGGAGCTATGAAAATGAAACCCAAGCTGTAACAAGTTCTCCGATAAAAGCTGAACATTTGATTAAAGACACGCTGTTATTGGCTGGTGGTTAATTACATATCAAGCCTCCAGAAATGTTCTCTGTTTGAAAGGTTGAATTTTTCCATATGTTGGTCCGTCACTCTTGGAAATGAAGACATTCAAGCAGATTTCTAATTATCCTCTCACTTATCACTGACTGTGGAGAGAGAGTGGTGGCGTTCCGTCTGTATGCATGTCTCAGAGCTGAGAAAAGTAGTTTATAACTAAATAGAAGAGCCAGCAGCTCTGCTGAGTGTGATACATCTGCTCCACTGCAGGTTATAATGTCATGGGAACCATTAGACATCATCATCATCTGAGAATCAGTGTTCAGAATATCCCATGAGCCTCCTCACTCCCACAGACGGCGCTCAGTGACAGGCCACATCCTTGAATGTGATGAGTTAAAGCTCTGCAACATGCAATCTTTTACCACTTTGAATGACTGACAGTCCTTCTGACGTGTGAAAAAGGGCACGGTAAACATTTTGTTCTCCGGAGGAAGCCAAACATTCTCTTTGAAATGCAAAGCTTTTTACATCTCCATGGAAACGAATTCAGTAAATAGGTCAAGTGCACGTGTGTGTGCACGTCAAGAGTCTTTGTAATGCTGTACTTACATGTATGGTATAATTAAAGGAGATCATGAATGGTAAAATGACTGGAGTCCAACAGAACAAAGGGCTTATCAACAGAGGGTTTAGACGACAGTTTGTACAGATGATCTAAACCCCTTCATTTGGCAAAAAACCAAAGAACAACAGAAGAGAAAAAGTGGGATCATCCCATGGAGATGCTGGTATAATCCCTCACTGCATTGAAGTCTAAGGAGGCCCTTCCAGTTGCATTGGACTCAGTATTCGTGTGTAGTCCAAGTCCATTCTAATTTTAAAGTGCTCAGTGTTGCCCAGACATAAACTCCCCATTCAAGGATTTACAAGTCTATGCCATGAAATCTGCCATGTTCCTGTAAATATATAAATCATTTTTTACAATGCAGTGATACAGTGAAGAAAAGGCTCCTCTACTGCGTTGATTGTAAACGGTCTGATGCGCCCCACACAAACACGCACACGCACACGCACACACACACACGCAGACACACACACTTACCATCAAACTCAGCAGGACCCACTCCTACTATGATGATAGACATGGGCAGGGAGGCTGCCTGTGGAGAGAACACAGGGGGCTTGTAAGCCACACGAATGCTCCCTTTCTCAAAAATACACACATATGTACGTAAGAACACAATCTTCTGAGACTATTTGTTCACTGGGTAATAAACGGTTGACTTATTAAGTCGCCATTGTGACATATTAGGGGAATATGGAAAATCATGTTTGAGTGGCTGAGACCAAATAAGAATGACTGAATAAAGTGCATCCACCTGTTTGGACCTCTATGGGATTCCTCAGGAAATTTGATCTATGTTATATATGATTATGTATATATAATATGTTTCATTGAAGTGGGTTTTCATGTTATTCTTTGTCCATGCATACATATCTTTGAGCCTTGTGATTTTTCAGCCGACAATGCACACATTAAGGCTGTAGTGATATACTGTACCTCTAACTGGGATATTTCTGAGACTTACTTCACCCACTGATCATTTTATTTGAGTCTATATGTTAAGTTCTGAACAGGGCCTTATTCACAATGGTGTGTTTTGTTTGCAGTGTAGTGTTGACTCACATTCACCACAGCCTCCTTGGTCTGAGCCATGTCTGAGATGACGCCGTCTGTAATCATCAACAGCACAAAGTACTGGGAGCCGTCAGTCACTTCTCCAGCACATCTGAATACACAATACACACATACAGAGATTGGTTAATTAAAATGACAGACATTTGAGATGGTCTGATGTGGTACTGATCACCGACACACATGAACATTTTCAGTTGCTGAATAATTGAAATAGAGAGAATGAAGTCAAATGAAATGTCACTTCATTCTGATCATCAGTCTTCCAGAAAACACTTTATGTGGATGTCTGGCAATGTCTCAGAGTTCTAGCATGAACTGAAAGCAGCTGATAACATCTATAAATGGGATTTTATGGGACCAGCTGTGTGAAGGGAGATCATGACATTGTATGAGTGTGGTCATTGACAGCAGGGCTCACTCTGACTCAAATTCTGCTGTCAGGGAAAGCACAAGTTTGAATGCATTTCCAGGTTGTCTTGCATTCACTGCACATCAGCACGGCTGCGGTAAGCACGCAGTGTGGTCTCGAAGAAATGGAGGCCGACATACGATCATGCCAGTCTAAATACAGTATCGGTCTAAATACTAAGTATTTATTTGAATCAATCTACCTGATAGTTCTCACATATAATCTGTTAAGAGGACGCAAGGGTGAGCGATGAGTTCTTCTCTGCCACAGACTTCTCATCATATAGTCCACATAAAACAGCTTTTTATATTCCAAAAGGACACTGTGTGTGTGTGTGTGTGTGTGTGTGTGTGAGTGTGCTTGTGTGAGAGAGAGAGGATCCCAGCAGGGAGAAGGAAGACCTGCTGTCTGACTCTCTGTTTGATTGGCTCACACTCTGTCTGGCCTGAGGATAAGAGCAGACAAAATGGCAAACTGTCTTTCTGTCTGCTGGATTTCTCCTGCCTGTCTCTACACCTGTCCCTATTGTTTCCTCCACCTTTCCTCCTCTGTCCTCTTCCTCTTGCAGGCCCCTGCTCCTCCACTTGCTGTCTGTGTCAGAATAATGGAAAAGTCCACTAACAGGTAAAACAATGGAACTGGGAAACAAATTGTACTGTTACAGTAGTTTTTCAGTGTCTCAAGCTAAAGTCCGCAGGAAGTCTGTCACTTCAAATATTCACTGTGCACCAAATGCAAATACAGGAAGATATGAAAGTTAATATATGTCACTCGTAGAACTGAGGATTTTTTCAGTTGAACATGCCCCTGGCACAGGAATAAATATATAGGTCATTGTTGAATCTACCCTTTCACCTCGAAGCACCACTGCAATGCTTCAGGGATGTGCCATATGTGCAAACATTAAACTACACAGCCACAGTTGTGTTTGAGCACTTGCAATGTATATAAATGGATTTTCTGTATGAAAAACATTTATCCAGCTTTTAAGGAAGGTTATAGTAAATTAATTATGAGAGCAGGAACAAGTGAGGGATTTGCTTGGGCTCATCTAAGTTTTGCTAGTGCACAAAAAGTAAGATGGATAGCATCAACAACTCTGTTCACAGTACAAACAGATCAGAGTGGCACACAATTATATATGATGTAAGCTCAAGAATGCTAATGCTACAGCTGAAGCAGGTTGTAGGAATGACGTATAAAAGACTATCATGAAGTTGGTGTGAAAGCTGAGCACTGTCAAATAATTCTTGACGGCAGAGCTGATGACATATTACTGAAATCTGACTGAAAGAGACGGCACGCTGGAGAGAGCAAGGAGAACGGGAAGAGTGTAACTGGAAACATGATATTTAATCAGAGGCAATAACACCAACTGTGAAATGACTCACTGGCCCTCGGACTAATATTAATTCCATGCTGTGCCACTGGAGAACACACGAGCCACTCAAGCTTTCTGTACTGGCCCAAAATCTTGTATCTAATACAACGGTGATTTGTGGAAACAGTTCTTGAGGTTATTCCATTATTATTATTAGATTTAGTTAGAGGATGATTTTTCACTGGCTTCATGACTTTTTGATTGTTTTTACAATAAGTTGTTGTTACGACATGAACAGTTACATGTGGCTGTGTATATTTATGTGCATATGGATTACACCATGCATCTTCCACCTCCACCTCCTCTATCTCTGTTTTCATCACAACTCTTTACCTCCCACATGGATGACAGCAGTAAAGTAGAGGTGGATGAGGAGCAGTGTGGGGAAGAGCTGGACCAAGCAGATGAAGAGGAGAAACATGGGGAGTTTATTGAAGAAAACAAAATACGAGGGGAGGAAAAACCAGAGAAGGAGAAGCAGGTGAGGGACAAGAAGAATTGAGAGGGTGAGAAAGACAACAAGGATGTGGGGGGAGGAGGAGGGACAGTACAGAGGGGAAGACAGTCAGCGTATAGAAAAAGTGAAGAAGGGGAGAGTAGTGCGTCTGATGATCACAGCGACAAAAATATCGAGAGACATGAAAAAAACAAGTATGAAATAAAAAGGACAGAGAAGAAATAAAGCTGTAGGCTCTCTCTTTCCCTCTGTGGATGTCAATGTATCTTGAAGCTCTTGAACCCACAGATGAACAACTCAGCACTACACTCCATTTGATTATCCAACCACAACCACTCAACTGGAACAGGATATTATTTCTTCATGTGGGAGCTAAAAATACAGTAACAGGTAATAAGCAGCCAGAATCCATGAAAAAACTGAAACCGGCTCTACTCCAACATTTCATTGGTGAAAATGAAATTGTTTTTAATAAGAGCCTGCAGGATGATATGTGCTGCAGGGTTCAACATGAAGACACACTGTATTAAGCTATTCCTATCTATTTGTATTACAAAGGCATTCCCATTGTGGCTGTCAGAAAATTATACAGCACTCAATGTGTGACCCACTTGGTTCAAATTCTTAAAGCCAGGGTTGGTAAGCCTGGAAAAGTTTGCAAGAGGAGACTGCGACATGAAACTGGACTTTTCTGTGATTCACTGTGCTCTGGCTATGGTCTCTGCATCAGTGGATGAGTCTCTGGCTGAGGTCTTTTACAGTGAGAGCAATGGCAGGGTGCACACAAGGCAAACAGGTAAATCGTTGGACATTTCAGTCCTGGAATTGCTATTGTTCTTTTTTTTTCTCTGATGATTTTTGGTAGTGATGGCTACTGAGGATGAAGATGGGGCAATACCTTTATTGGGGCAACTGCATCAGCTGTTAAAAAGGAATTTAAAATAACTACATATGCAAGACAACTCAAATTTAAAGCCCTGGTTGTGGGCTGTAATGTACTTAACTTAATTGATCATTATATT